TACCATCGACAATAAAACATGTCTTCTGTCTGAATGAAAGACGCGATCCCAGACTTTGTCATCTTCTTCAGGTGGTGGAAGGATGCGGGCCTTGTCTGTAACATCTAGAGAACAGAAGACTACTTTTTTTTTACACAAAAATGTGTTTTTTTTTTTCAAGCCAAAACTGAGAAACCTCAAGAGAATGCATCTGGATCAGCCCATGGACAATCTGCACAGCCCCTGATTCCAGTCAGGCTGTGAGCTGCTGAGACATGGACAATACCATCGTCCTCTTTTGGATGGACATCATTTGGAACAATTGGATTACACAATTTGGACATAATTTGGAACAATTGGATTGCTGAATCTGGACACTAAAGCTGAAACGTGTGATTGAAAGACACGTCACAGAAGAATTCATGGCTCGACACAAATGCAGCCTGAAGAAACCAACACGGAGAAGTGGGAGAGACTGTTTTCAAAGCAATATTTGAGAACCATCGACTGATTAAGTTTGGTATTTTACTGAAGATTGTTGACAAGTTTGATGAAAGATCTGAACATGTTTTATGAGTTTAAGTATTGAGGTCCGAGTTCTGAGTTTTTTGAAGTACCGAGTTTGAGTTTTTGAAGTATTGAGTTATGATGTTATGTTGCTGTTTATCGATCCTGGTGGTCACACGTGAATGTATGACCAGAGGGGGGAATGTGAGATTTCATAACACTTTTAAGCAACTTTTGTTTAAGTTAAACTCATCATTCTATCAATGTGCAGAAGCCAGTACTTTTCCCTTGTTTTGTCTATCTGAAGGCCAAGCTACATGGCACCGTGGCAGCTGCTGATTGGAGGTCTCCATGCCTCTGCTCTGTATAATACACTTGCATTCTGTGTGTGTGTTGTTCGTGCTGTCTCTACCATCGACAATAAAACATATTTTCTGTCGGAATTTAAGACACGATTCCAGACTTTGTCATCTTCTTCATTCCTTTCTTCTTTTTCCTGCATCCCCTCCACTTAAAAATATACTTGCTTGGACCCTGGGGCTGCCTCGTCTCATAAAAGGTAAACTTTAAAGGAAAAAGGAGGTATTTTTATGAATTTGGATGCAGCCTTTTAATTTGCCCATTCCGTTCGTTTGCTGCATGGCCTCTATTAATACCAAGTGAGTAAATTTCTAAGTAAACTTATGTAAATTAAATATAATTGTCTTCCTCATATACAAGTTTGTGCCATACTGTAAATATGTTATAAATCATTTTAAATGTGTTTAATTAGACAGTTAATTAGATCTATAAATAAGTGATAGGTTTGTATAGATTGTAAATATGTTTAGATAAATTAGTTGGATTAAACTGACACGACATGAAAAGTGAATGGAAATATATTTGTGGAACTTAGACAATATCATCAAAAAAATATTTCAGCATTTCCTAAAGAGATGAAATTCTCTGTCTCCAAGCGACGCATTACATTTCAAAAATAATTCAATAATAAATCAGTTATCATATACAGATAAAAACATACAAGTATTTGGTTCTTCTTTACCAGACAATAGTAAGTTAGTTATGTTATTAACTCACTATTGTCTGGTATAGAAGAACTACTTTTTAATTTCTACGAAGAAGACATGATGAACCTTCCTAAACTATGATACAAAACATTTCTATGTGAGGAAATGTTTACAATAAAACAAAGAATACAGCTGTAAAACAAACAAAAGTAATAATTCTATACCCGATCCATCCATTTTCCTCTGCTTTATCTGTTGCCTGGTTGCGAGGCAGCAGTCTGAGCAAAGATGCCCAGAATCGTGAGGCATTTCCAAGCCGGCTGACAGACAAAGCCCCTCCAGCGTGTCCTGGGTCTTCCTCTAGGTCTCCAATGTACAATAAATTATTAGCAAACCACATTTAGATTCTACAAAAGGCAAATAATTTTAGAATTAGCACAAATAAAATCATATACATATTGGCAAAGTCTGGTTACACCCATTTCGATTGCCTTGCATCTGCTCAACTTTGTAATCTACAATCAGGATTCAGGAAGAAAAAAAATATGACAAAACATAGACATATTTTTAGCAACATCTGAACTAATCTTAACCCGTTAAAGTGAAATGTGTTACCTGACATCAGTCCAATAACTTGCATTCTGGAGGCAGTTTACCATATTATGCCTAAATATAACTCAAGGACTGAACATAGAGTTTGATAAGTTTAGGATTAGTAATGCTTCTCATGTGGCTCTTTAGACAACTTCATGTTTACTCTGGTCCACCCTGGGTTTGTTTCTTTTTCTGGTTCGCTCTTGGCTGTGAGTGAGCTGGTGTTTCAAGAGGTTTCCTGAAGTCGTAAAGCCAAGGTTGCACTGGTCGCACTGGTATGGCCTGGCTCTCGAGTGGATTCTTGCGTGTTCATTGAGAGAACCTGACGACGAGAAAGCTTTCCCACATTGCTTACACTTAAATGGTTTCTCTCCAGTGTGGATTCTCTTATGTTTCACAAGGCTTGCCGAGTGCGAAAATGCCTTTGCACAGATATCACAGCTGAACGGTTTTTCCCCCGTGTGGATTCTGCCGTGGCTTCTGAGATGTGACACTGTAGCAAAAGTTTTTCCGCACAGACCGCATTTATATGGTTTGTCTCTGGTGTGTACTCTCATATGTGCAGTTAGGGTACCACGCAGCTTAAACATCGTCCCACACAGGTTACACTCAAACGGTCTTTCTCCCGTGTGGATTCTGTAGTGCTTTTTTAGGCTGGAAGCATAGAACCCCTCCCTTCCACACTGGTCACAGGTCAAACTCATTTTGCCAAGTTATCTTGTATGATCTGGAGAAAACATAAACATAAAAATGAAGAAATAAATCAGACAAGGGTTTAAATTTAACATAAAAGCATAAACATAGAAACCTAAATTGTGTTTGTTTAGATCATCCCTTCAATATCAGTTTACTTTTTTTATAATTCCTTATTAGTGTTAAAAACTATTGTATCTATGTGCTAATTATGTATAGCTACAAAATAATTATGAAAACTGTTGCACTTTGTCATTCTGCACTTTATGAATGCAACTGGCACTTTTTATCTGCACTTTTACTATATATTGCATGTTTATTGTCTATGTTTTGTATTTTAATTAACTCTGTTATGTATTTTTGATTGTATAAGGACTACAGATGGAAATTAGCATTGTGCTAAATCTGGGGCAGCCATCTTTTTAATGTACCTGTCCGTTGTCCTTTTAAATAAATAACTAACTAACTGACTAAAATATCTCAACCAATTTCCCTCATCACACTGGAAGAGATATACCCATTTTTTAGTGATGGGTCCAGCAACACTGATACACCGGCGCATGTGCCGAGTTCGTTTAGCGAAACCTCGTATCGGCGCGCGTGTCGCTTTATGAAAAAGCCACGTGACCAATACAGCCGCAGTGTTGCTTGTCACCGACACGGCAAACTGTGTTTAAAAGGTTCCGCATCTGCAAGTGTCACCGGTATGAACCGCTGTCAGAAAAAGAAAATAACCCTTTCAAAAAGGAAAAGCATCCCATTTTACAGCATAAAAAATGGAACCTGCAACTAAAAGAAAGTATTCTGCAGTGTGATACTGCAAATAAGGCAATGTTTGTATTTTACGTTTCACGCTTTATCTACAATCAAGTTTTAGTTTGAAACGCAAAATCTAGTTAGGCATGGTGGATGAGTGGATAGCGCTCTCGCCTCGCGTTTGAGAGAACTGGGTACGAATCCCTGTCGGTCCTCAAAAGTTTATGTTGACATTACAGTCTTGAAGAATAATTTTGAGAAATTGAAGTGCAGAAAATGTCAAAGGTTTTTTCAAGTATACTTTAGTTGCCAGGGTTTACAGTGCACTTTGGACATGCTTATTGTTTTAAAAAAAAAATAATAAAAAAAAATACATCACTCAATGACATTTTGCTTAATGAATACATTCACAACTATCACTTTAATTTTCACATAAAATAAAATAACACAGACAATGCAGTTACGTAATATTGTGTGCAGACAAGTATGTAAAGCTCATTGAATCAGTGAGTTGGATGCAATGATTTATCAGATCCACCAGGTGTCAGTATAGAGCAGCACAAGCAACACTGTTGCGGCACAGTATCAACACAGTTTGTTGGATGTGCCGAAACGATATGTGAGGTTTCATTTACCCATCACTACCATTTTGCAATTAAGATTCACACAGAAACGTATTTGTTTTAACTACAGAAAACCACACAGAAAAACCCTGTCTGGAGATGGAATCGAACCCAGGTTGCACTGTTACGCACACGTGCTAACCACTGCCTCGCATGATGAACGATGAAACACTATTACCGTGAAATAGTTTTTCTTTTTTTATATATATATATATATTCTTTATCGAGTTCAAAAAGGCAAGTTGTACATTCATTCAGTAACCAATTAAGGCCTTTAAACATCACATACATAGTGGTATTAATATAGACCTATCAAAGTTTTAGCATTACTCACACATTAGTACTGGCTCTCTTTTAGCATGACTCACATGTTAGTGCTAACTCAGTTCTAGCATTAATCACAGTTCGGTGCTAGCTCTAGTTTTAGCATTAAGGACAGATTAGCACAAGCTCGAGTACTAGCCCTAGTTTTAGCAAGTACTCACTTATAGATCCTCAGATTAACTTTGTTTCGTAGCTCGAAGTTTTTTCTGTTTACTGTCCAAGTGTTTACGGAAGTTCTTTTCCGACCAAAGGGAACCCGGAAGTGTTTTTTTGCGTTTTATTTTATTTCTGCGTAAAAGTGCTAAGTAAATGAAAAAAATCAAATAAATAAGACCCATAGATTGTGTTTTTGTTGTAAATATTTATTATTTTTTTTAAATTTATTTTATACAAGTCAGCTGCTTTCAATTTCACAACAAACATGGCGGCGTCGTGAGGGGACGGCTAACGAAACGGAAGAGGTGCATTTTGCATAATATTCGAGAAACAGCTTCAGGTTTTAATCAACCTGTCCAGAATGGAGCCCGGTCTTTTCTCCAAAGACACGTCCGAACAGAAAGTGGCAATTGTTGGCTCGGAGTTGGTGGAAAACTACACGGTACGTTGTGTGCGATTAGCTCTGGTAGCATAGCAATAGTAGCTAGCTCATTCCACTGTCACGTCAAGACCATAGACTCAAGTCACCATAGTTGTCTGAAATGCAAATTATAACTTTTTTTCATGTATGTTGCACTGTATGGTATGCTAGTGGGCATTTCCGCATATTCAACTTAACTCAATTGATAAAGACTTGAAGGTGAACACTCTTTGTTAGCTAATCTTATAATTGGTTCATGTTTCATGTAATAAACTTGCGTCACGTTACGTTGAACTGAAGATAACCTAATATCTAATCTAATACTTCTAATCTCTAGAGCAGAGGTCAACAACTTTTTTGAATCCGAGGGCTCGAGGGCGACTATATTTTGAAGAAATAATAAAATGAAATTAGTATTATTACGCAGATAGGTCAAAAATAGGGAATTTTATCTTTTATTTTCGTCTAACATGGATTAGGATGATGAAATTCCACTTATGAATTAATTTGAGTATAATAATTGAAGGGGAATGTAATTTATGCAGTGATTCTGGTTCTTGGGCTGAACTCATCTAGCAGTCTAGTCTCGTGTTATGTATTAACTAGCTTACTTTATATAATGGTTCCTGCATAAGAGTTAATGTAGTTATGTTTAATAAGCATTAGTAGTTAGCATCACATCCTATGCTCCTAAAGTCTGCTATAACTGGACTGACTTAGAAATGTTTTCGACAATTAACAGCAAAAATAGGCCTTAGGTCAACTGTTCTGTGGTTGAGTTTTAAAGTGTAAACAGACAAAGGTAATTTATGCAATTATTTACAGTAATGAGGGGTTTTGCAGTTTTTTCTGTCTTTTTGTATCTGAAGTATTGGATTGATTGCATCACTTTATTCTTTGTATTCATTTTGTAGGTTTACATTATTGAAGTGACTGATGGTCTGCACAGATGGACCGTCAAACACAGATACAGTGACTTTCACGAGCTCCATGAGAAGGTAACGCAGTCCTGGATTTACTCATCTACCAAGATGACAAGATATGACTCTCCTTAACTTGCATTAAATAATGTCTATTGAGATCCTTACAGTTGAAGTAGTTTTTTATAAATTGTGACTTTGACGGAGAAATTTTCTGGCAGTCTATTTATTTTTTTTTATTTTTTTATTCAGCCATGACATTATTACAATCATAATGAAAATAATAAGAACACAAATATTTCAATTCCTACATGTTGCTGAATAGGAGCATGTGGAAGACAAAGTCTTATGTTTCATGCTCCTGAACACAAAGTATTTAGTTCACAGATTAAAAATAGGATTTCTCATCTTTGATGAGGGAGCGATGTTGTCACATGTATTAAAACTAGGACTGGAAATCCAAAATATAACCTAATTAATTGTATTTATTTTTTTAAAATAAAGCTACAAATCATTAGCTTTGTTTTATTATGACAAATCAGATAACGTGTGGGGTTTTGAGAACTCTATGGTGAATATAACTGAAACTAACAATCTAAAACTCATAAAAACGGATCTGGACAATCTTTTTAAATGGTCTTTGGCTGGATGTTGTGAAACATACAAAACCAGGTGTTGGTGTTACTGTGTATTTTATATTAAGCAGCCCTGGTTCGGTTCACCACACTTCCCACAATGTAGAAATTGAACCAATCACTGCGTTCAATCCCGGTGATGAGGTCTGGGACATCCACAGAAACAAAATCACACATTCTTGCATCAACCTGCGTCTTCTCTGGATGCATGAAGATAGATCCAAACAGAGACATGGTTTTCAAAACAGAGTTTGTCTCAATGGCTCCAAGCTGTCGTGTGTAAAAATGCTGATTCCCCGAAGCCCCAGTCTCTCGCAGACTTCTCAGCGGGTCACTCCAAACCCAATACATCCATGAATACTTCCATGCTCCAAACAAACCATTTTCTACCTTCCTTGCTCTCTTTGTCCAATCTCTGGATGGTGATATGGCAAACATCAAGTATAAAAAAGTGCAAAATCGATCTTGATAAAATCTTAATGCATTTCTAATATATAAATACAGACTACAACAATGTGTTATTTCGTCATTTTTCATTTTAGCTAACAGCAGCAAGCAACGTGGACCGGCGACTGCTGCCCCCAAAGAAGATTTTGGGTAAAAACTCAAAAAGTTTGGTGGAGCGTCGACAGAAGGAGCTGGAGCAGTATCTTCAGACTCTGTTACTGCAGTTTCCTCAGGCCACACCTCCTGCACTTTCCTCCTTCCTACACCTGCAACTATACGTGAGTGGGGATAGCTCTGTCTACTTTATCAATTTCTCTATAGTCATTTGCAGCAGAAATAGCAGTGTTCTCAGCCCATTGTCTTCCAGGCAATTATGTCTTTGCTTATGAAGGTCTATCTTGACTTGTTAGTAAATTATGTTGTTGTTGTTCGCCATCTTATAATTGAACGTACTTATATCTGAACCCACCACAGAACCATGTGCTCCTTGTAACAAAGGCCTGCATTTGTGACACTACCATGTGATGAGACGTGACCGGTCCTTCCACACAAACACTCTTTTGTATCAAAAGCGGCACACGCAGAACTCTGCTGTCTTCGTTTTTGCCAATTACAATCAATTCACTTCCAAATATGTGGTCTTAACTGCAGGGGAAGATTTGATTTTTATCGGAGCATTGGCATTATAATCTTTTGGCTGGCAATCATTTAATCTTACCCGTTGAATTGAGATGTATAGGCACACACTTTAATATATATATTTTTACTATAATTGTTTATTCTTCCTCATTATTGCATATAGTAACTGTTTTGAAATGCCTCTCCCACTATTGTTGGTGACTTCGCAGCTAAATGGGGAACATACCCAGCTTTGCATTAGAAAATTATCTCATTATTAATATAAATAGGATATTGATGTGTTTTCATCAGCTGCTGCTCTTTTCCATTCTTGATCATCAGTGATTCGTTTTGTCGAGATGCAATTTAAAAGGGTTGAATTCATGCAGAGGCAATGTTGAGTTTAGATTTTCAACATCATCATTGGAAATCTTTACTCAACGGGGCATCATTATTGGAAAAAAAAGATGTGTCCTTTTTTCCAATATGAAATGTCCTAATTGTCTTCTGTATTTCAGGAGATAAATGGCATTACAGCTGCATTGGCTGAAGAACTCTTCCACAAAGGTCTGTTTATGTTTTTCCAAATCATCTATGTATTATAACTTGTATACAGAGCTAAAATAATTATTAAGTAACCATAAAGTACAGAAGAAAGGGGGTGGGATGTGTGTTTACTTCCCCCACTCCTTTTCAGACAGACTTAGTTTCCTCCTCCTAGGCAGACGAGATCATACAGTAAATGTTGGTTGTTTGTTTTATATATTTAACTTCATTTTTTCTTTTATTAAGTTGCTATTACTTTAAAGACCGTATGCCAGGTTTGATTTATTTAGAAATACAGTTTTAATACCATTTTATATTAGAAGAGAACTACTAAAGGTTTCAAAATCCGTTGTTGTTTTTTTTGTCTGATCCCCCCAAATCGAAATAACCCCATAGCAACGCCCTTAGAAACGAAAAAACTTCACAGCCCTTGGTGACGTCAGAGCGGGTAGGTTTCAACGCTGTAAGTTGTTTACAATTTGGTATTCGTTCTTTTTTCGCGGATATTGAAGATGACAAGGCCGTGTACAGCGAGTCTGACATAAGTACTAGATTGTAATTCTTCATTGTCACTGAGATAGTCCAGTGGTTGTGTTGATGGACTACCAATCCAGATACTGGGTTCAAATCCCACCTCAGACACTTTTTCACTCTCAAAACGGCAATTTATGTGTAGTGAGCAATTGTCACCTGTAGAGGGCAGTATTGTGTTGGGCATCAGTGGAGAGAAGAGAGAAAAGGCAGTCCTGTGGCATAGATCCATGGTTTTCAATGCATGGGCGTTACCCGCTGTGACGTCACACACAGGTTAGAGCATAGACAACTTAAATTCATGAAAAACACTTTCTTTTTATAAAATATAGGATTTTTTTTGCCGGAATCTATTTCAGATCGACATTGTCATGCAATTTTGATATCCACAATTTTTTTTTTTTTAAACCCGGCATAAGGTCTTTAATTGTTCTATCGCCGTCTGAATGAATAAATAAATAATAAATAGATAAAATACTGCAATAAGACATGTCTGTGTGCTCTGAACTTCCTGGATTCACTCTGCCAAACCCAGAATGTAACACTTGGGTCAAGGTTTTGGTTGTGAATATTATGATCAGAGAGGCAATGTAGATGCTGTAGTTACTTTTCTAGGCTTTGGCGACCCGAATGAGAGTGATTTGGATCCTGCTTTGCTAACTGCAATGCTAAAAAACTATGTAAACCTCATGTTTTATATCTTTACGTACAAATCCTTCTGTCTGTCCTTCCAGGGGAGCAGTTACTTCAGGCTGGACAGGTGTTTTCACTGCACCCTCTACAGCTCTACTCAGTCACTCAGCAGCTGCGCCTGGCCAAGCCCACCTGCTTCACCGGAGACGCCAAAACAGACCTGGGACACATCCTGGACTTCACCTGCCGACTTAAATACCTCAAGGTAGCCGGGTTACGAGTCAGAGGATTAGGGTCTTTCACTTAAATGAAATGTAAATGCAAAATCATTGGTTAAAATCATGAGCTTTTAATCATATTACTTGATTGTTCTCTCATCTACAACCTGGATGTGTTGTTGCTCCATCTCACGCCACTGCTGGGCGTACACTGTGCCATTTCATGTGGTTTTTCAGCACAAAAAATAAAACACAGAAACTGGGCTGCTTAATCTTCTGATACACACATATGTTTCCCTGCCCAATCTGTCCAAATTCATCTTTTTCAACTTGTTACCCTGTGACCAATCCTCAGACTTTGACCTCATGGATGGACCTGTTTTCCGACTTTCAAAAAAGGTTCTGCCTGGAAAAAAAAAAATCCAAATCCATTCATCCATTTTCTTCCCCTTAATCCATTTCTGGGTTGGGGGGGTGGCAGTCAGAGCCTCCTGCAGGTGCCCCTGTGGACTCACCACCTGCAGGAGGATAGAATTTTGTTGTTGTTGCAAATATCTCCAGTTATTTCCTAAAACTTCATACCTTCAATTAAACCATCCCACGTTGGATTTAGACATATTGCAGAATTTACTTCAAAACTTCTACCACTAGATGGCACTGTTGTGCTTTTTAGTCATTTTGTTTTATTTATTTACTTCAAGCTTAATCGTTTTTTATAATTTTCAGTATTTACAAATTATGCATAATATATACAGAATACATTCATACGTATATTTTGATCAATGATGTCATCTTTCAAAACCGGAAAAGTAAATATTCTCACCATGTTTATGGACTAAAATGGAACAAGAATAATGCTTTATATTTCATGCTCGAAATTTCAAGAGGAATTATTCATACATGGTTATTTATCTTTACATTCATTATTTAAATTAAAGTACCTTTCTTGGTAATTCAACTAAAATAATAATTCTTCATCTGCCGTTGTTTCAATGTTTTAGATCAGTGGCACCAAAGAACCTGTCGGCAGCAGCAACATCCAAGAGAACAGCCTCCCGTTTGATTTATCCATCTTCAAATCTCTGCTGCAGATTGAGGTTGGTTCAACACAATAAACTTGCATTAATTTTTTTTTTTTACAACTACCCTTCAGCGGTTTGTAAATGTGAGCTGGAGATGGTATAATGATTTAGTTTCATAACGTATTGTTTCATGGTTTCTGGTGGGTTTGACGCCTGTTCCGTGTGTTTTAGATCAGTGAGTGCAGTTCGCAGCAGATCTCAGGTTTGTCGTCGCTGAGAAAAAGTTTGGCCACGATGAGCGTGCACCATTCCACTGACTCCATGAGCGTACGTACCACTACTTCCAACAAGACGCCAAAACATTTCCCCAAACTACTGTACATCATTATTTAACCCGTAAATGTTCACTCCTGGAAGAAAACAATGTAATAGATAGAAAGATAGATACTTTATTGATCCCCGTTGGAGAAATTCAGGATTTCAATATTCAAAATCAAAATTCAATATTTGTTTTTATGTTTTTTTTGTTTTTTTTAAACCCCTAGTTTTTCTAATTCTAAGCCTTTACCAATTGGTTGACATGTAGTTTGATGATAAAAGTTCCTTAGACCAAGTTATAGAGATGCCCAATGAGGTAGATTTCAGTTCCATGCATGGGTTCACTGAAAAGCTAAATACTATAAATTGTCATCTATCTATGGAAGACTATTGGCACCTTAATTCAATTGTCTATTCATTTGTCAAATGGCTATGCATTATGTTATTTTAGTATTTATTTTGTATTTGTATTTGTCAAAGTGTAATGTTATATCCAATTTTGACATTTAATGTTCTATTCCAAAAGTTCTAATGGCAATTCAATATGTAAAGTGTCGATACAATGTCTTTATATATTGCAAATTACAAGATTTTGAAATGAATAGCATATTGACATGGAAATTTGGCCTCTTTATTCATTGTTCTATTCATTCTTAACATGGCATTTAGTTTAGAGTTGTATTTGGCAAAATTGCATGTTATATCCTATTTTGACTTGTATTCCACATTTGAGTATGTTAAGTTTCATTTAATGTGTTGTGAAACAGCACCTCCCTCTGGATTGCATTGCATATTGCATATTGCATTGCCACATGGTTTGAGTGCAACTTAATTGATTGACTGCGGAACCTTCCGCAGTCAACCATTGGTTTTGTATTTCTTTATTCCGTCATTGATTGACTGCGGAACCTTCCGCAGTCAACCATTGGTTTTGTATTTCTTTATTCCGTCATTTTTTTTGACACGTTTCACAGCTTTCACATTTTCAACAATTTCCACAAGTTATACATCAAAACGTTCCACATGTTTGGGAGATTATTGCTATTACTTTTGGGACTTCAGCGATTTCCGGTTTTTCCGCAATCGGACAAAAATCTGCATTGAGAATTCTGCAATGCATTTTAATAGGCCCATGCATTTTAATAGGACTTCAGCTCTTTCAGACATTTCTACAGTTTCAATGATTCAACAGTTTCAAGGATTCAACAGTTTCAAGGATTTCAGCAGTTTCAAGATTTCAAGAGTTTCAAGGACTTCAACAGTTTCAAGGACTTCAGCAGTTTCAAGGACTTCAGCAGTTTCAAGGACTTCAGCAGTTTCAAGGACTTCAGTGTAATCATGCAACCTAATAGGGATTTTTCCATGTAAACCAGTATAATGCAACTTAATAGGGATTTTTCCATGTAAACCAGTATAATGCAACTTAATAGGGATTTTTCCATGTAAACCAGTATAATGCAACTTAATAGGGTTTTTTCATGTAAACCAGTATAATGCAACTTAATAGGGTTTTTTTTCATGTAAACCAGTATAATGCAACTTAATGGGGATTTTTCCATGTAAACCAGTATAATGCAACTTAATAGGGGTTTTTACATGTAAACCAGTATAATGCAACTTAATAGGGTTTTTTCCATGTAAACCAGTATAATGCAACTTAATAGGGTTTTTTCCATGTAAACCAGTATAATGCAACTTAATAGGGTTTTTTCCATGTAAACCAGTACAATGCAACTTAATAGGGATTTTTACATGTAAACCAGTATAATGCAACTTAATAGGGTTTTTTCCATGTAAACCAGTATAATGCAACTTAATAGGGTTTTTTCCATGTAAACCAGTATAATGCAACTTAATAGGGTTTTTTCCATGTAAACCAGTAAAATGCAACTTAATAGGGATTTTTCCATGTAAACCAGTATAATGCAACTTAATGGGGATTTTTCCATGTAAACCAGTATAATGCAACTTAATGGGGATTTTTCCATGTAAACCAGTATAATGCAACTTAATAGGGGTTTTTACATGTAAACCAGTATAATGCAACTTAATAGGGTTTTTTCCATGTAAACCAGTATAATGCAACTTAATAGGGTTTTTTCCATGTAAACCAGTATAATGCAACTTAATAGGGTTTTTTCCATGTAAACCAGTACAATGCAACTTAATAGGGATTTTTCCATGTAAACCAGTATAATGCAACTTAATAGGGTTTTTTACATGTAAACCAGTATAATGCAACTTAATGGGGATTTTTCCATGTAAACCAGTATTATGCAACTTAATAGGGATTTTTCCATGTAAACCAGTATAATGCAACTTAATAGGGATTTTTCCTTGTAAACCAGTATAATGCAACTTAATAGGGTTTTTTTCATGTAAACCAGTATAATGCAACTTAATGGGGATTTTTCCATGTAAACCAGTATTATGCAACTTAATAGGGATTTTTCCATGTAAACCAGTATAATGCAACTTAATAGGGTTTTTACATGTAAACCAGTATAATGGAACTTAATAGGGGTTTTTACATGTAAACCAGTATAATGGAACTTAATAGGGGTTTTTACATGTAAACCAGTATAATGCAACTTAATAAGGATTTTTACATGTAAACCACTATAATGTAACCTAATAGGGGTTTTTACATGTAAACCAGTATAAAGCAACTTAATAGGGATTTGTACATGTAAACCAGTATAATGCAACCTAATAGGGATTTTTCCATGTAAACCAGTATAATGCAACTTAATAGAGATTTTTCCATGTAAACCAGTATAATGCAACTTAATAGGGATTTTTCCATGTAAACCAGTATAATGCAACCTAATAGGGATTTTTCCATGTAAACCAGTATAATGCAACCTAATAGGGATTTTTCCATGTAAACCAGTATAATGCAACCTAATAGGTTGCATTATACCACCAGACCAAGACCCAAACGAAGACTCAGACCACCACCAGATAATGACCACAGACCAGGTTTCCTTAGTTACAGGAACCAAATTGTTTCAGCGGTGAGGGGATTTTTCAGTTTCAAGGACACTTTCAATACATTCAGTATTTCAAGGATTTCAACTGTTTAAGAATTTAACCAGTTTCAAGGATATCAGGAGGTTCAAGGATTTCAGGAGTTTCCACACTTTCAACAGTTTCCAGGTTTAAAAAAAGTTTCAAGGATTTCAGGAGTTTCAATGTTTCAACAGTTTCAAGGATTTCAGGAGTTTAAAGGTTTCAACAATTTCAAGGACTTCAGGAGTTTCAAATATCTATCAAGTATTTTAACAGTTTCAAGGCCTTTTAAAGGATTTCAAGGATTTTTTTTAGCAGATTTCCACATTAGATCTGTTCCGCAGTCAATCGCAATGGCTTCAGCCATTGCAAGTTTCTAGTTTTTTTTGACACGTTTCACAGCTTTCACATTTTCAACAATTTCCACAAGTTATACATCAAAACGTTCCACATGTTTGGGAGATTATTGCTATTACTTTTGGGACTTCAGCGATTTCCGGTTTTTCCGCAATCGGACAAAAATCTGCATTGAGAATTCTGCAATGCATTTTAATAGGCCCATGCATTTTAATAGGACTTCAGCTCTTTCAGACATTTCTACAGTTTCAATGATTCAACAGTTTCAAGGATTCAACAGTTTCAAGGATTTCAGCAGTTTCAAGATTTCAAGAGTTTCAAGGACTTCAACAGTTTCAAGGACTTCAGCAGTTTCAAGGACTTCAGCAGTTTCAAGGACTTCAGCAGTTTCAAGGACTTCAGTGTAATCATGCAACCTAATAGGGATTTTTCCATGTAAACCAGTATAATGCAACTTAATAGGGATTTTTCCATGTAAACCAGTATAATGCAACTTAATAGGGTTTTTTCATGTAAACCAGTATAATGCAACTTAATAGGGTTTTTTTTCATGTAAACCAGTATAATGCAACTTAATAGGGTTTTTTTCATGTAAACCAGTATAATGCAACTTAATGGGGATTTTTCCATGTAAACCAGTATTATGCAACTTAATAGGGATTTTTCCATGTAAACCAGTATAATGCAACTTAATAGGGTTTTTTTCATGTTAACCAGTATAATGCAACTTAATAGGGTTTTTTTCATGTAAACCAGTATAATGCAACTTAATAGGGTTTTTTCATGTATAATGCAACCTAATAGGTTGCATTATACCACCAGACCAAGACCCAAACGAAGACTCAGACCACCACCAGATAATGACCACAGACCAGGTTTCCTTAGTTACAGGAACCAAATTGTTTCAGCGGTGAGGGGATTTTTCAGTTTCAAGGACACTTTCAATACATTCAGTAGTTTCAAGGATTTCAGCTGTTTAAGAATTTAACCAGTTTCAAGGATATCAGGAGGTTCAAGGATTTCAGGAGTTTCCACACTTTCAACAGTTTCCAGGTTTAAAAAAGTTTCAAGGATTTCAGGAGTTTCAATGTTTCAACAGTTTCAAGGATTTCAGGAGTTTAAAGGTTTCAACAATTTCAAGGACTTCAGGAGTTTCAAATATCTATCAAGTATTTTAACAGTTTCAAGGCTTTTTAAAGGATTTCAAGGATTTTTTTTAGCAGATTTCCACATTAGATCTGTTCCGCAGTCAATCGCAATGGCTTCAGCCATTGCAAGTTTCTAGTTCAATATGCTATGCAGTTCTTGACCCCTGGGAAGGCGGGTCCTGGTCCGCTCTCGGCCAATCAGAGACTAGTCTCTGTTAAAAACGGGCTGCTCTTGGTCGGTCACCAGTCACAGTTAATGTGAAGCCGATTCAGACAGTAACATGGCATATCTTCTAACTACAGTGGGCACACTTGGATCTTCAGACGCACTCCGAGTCAGCACCGTGCGGAGAAAAACACAAGTTGTGAACTGTTGCTAACAAGTTGAAGGGCAGTAACTCTGCTATTTTAAGCGAGGAATGAGCATATAGGAAATTAGGAATAAATCGCACTAAAACCATAAAGTGTACACTATAGCTACAACTGAAGGCCACCTTAGCATAACAGTTCACAACTTGTGTTTTTCTCCGCACGGTGCTGACTCGGAGTGCGTCTGAAGTCAAAATAGGATATAACATGCAATTTTGCCAAATATAACTCTAAACTAAATGCCATGTTAAGAATGAATAGAACAATAAATAAAGAGGCCAAATTTCCATGTCAATATGCTATTCATTTCAAAATCTTGTAATTTGCAATATATAAAGACATTGTATCGACACTTTACATATTGCCATTAGAACTTTTGGAATAGAACACCTTTAAGCGCCAAAGTCGCAATATTGCGACAAGCAACATTGCTCACTTAAACAGGCTGTATCTAAAAATGTGGTGCAGAATCTTGTTAATACTTTTCACCAGGGGTTAGTGGACATGTGTGCCTGTAATATGAGCAACATTTGTGGGTGTGGTTATATTGAAAGTTTTTGAGTAAATTGAGTTCGTAAAACACCTGCGGCACAGCGGCGCGGAGGCGAAGCAGCAGCGGTAGAGCTGAGAGGAGCAAGAGCAGAGCAGAGGGAGAGAGGGTTTTTTCATTTACTCACGAGGTCTTCAGTACCAGAGAAGTACTTGGTCTGGTACTGGCTCACTCAGATTCAGAGGAGGAAGACACACAGGTGTCCAGTGAAGCAGACACGGACATTATTGGTGACGGGGAGACCGCGCTCCATAGTCCACAATCAGCCCCAGTACAGCGGCTGCTTGTCCTCCGTGTGGCCGCGGTAGAAGCATTCTGTGAACGCCAAGCAGGGTCCGTGGTGGAGGGTACAGGGGGATCATAACACCGGGCATGTGGGAGAAAGTAGTGGGGGTAGACATCCACGGGGAACACGGGAGACGCGGGAGAAGTCGCGGGAGAGCCGCGGGAAAAAAACACATCGCTAATCGCGTTCACTGCCTTTACCAGCAGCGATGATGAGGATGAAGGCAGTTCTTGAGAGAAAATAATCCACAAAAGTGGATCAGAAGTGTTGAAGAGCCTGTTGTATGTTGTTGAGACGATCTGACAAGTTCTGAGCCCATTCATTTCATCTCTCTGTTTCTAAACGATATATCCTGGAGCCTCATTTCCACTGAGAAAAATAGTAAGCCCACTACTTCTCTGAAAGGGAAATATTGAAACCAATCTCAAGATTTCATGACTGTAAACTATAAAGAGTGCTGTCTTGATCACTGAAGGTCTTTGAAAATAATACAATTCCATATGGCCGCGAACCAGTGCTAAAACATTATCTATAATCTGGATCAGGGAATTTATTTCTATCCCAAATTCATTTCATACTAAAGATATTTCACACTGACTGTTTATAGTATTCCCTGATCTCAAATAACTCCCAAGCTACAGCTTTTTGAAGTCTTTATACAATTAACATTTTCCAAAATGGCCGCCACCTTGATGACGTCACAATATGCAATATATGTATTAGATGACGAATCAACTTCCATCCCAAAGTTTGGTTCAAACTGAAGATATTTCTAATTTACAGTATGCCTTTATCTCAAACCATTTTAAAGTTATAGCCTTTTGAAATCTTGAAATCAAAATTGTATATTTTCTTGAAAAAACTCTGGCGCCTAAAGGGTTAAATGTCAAAATTGGATATAACATCCAGAGCCGGAGCTGCGTGCGCATTGCCGGCAGTAAGTCAGACCTGTTCCCTGTGCACGTTGGCCTCCGCCAGGGCTGCCCTTTGTCACCGGTTCTGTTCACTGTATTCATGGACAGAATTTCTAGGCGCAGCCAAGGGTCGGAGGGGGTCCGGTTCGGGGACCACAGGATTTCATCTCTGCTGTTTGCAGACGATGTTGTCCTGTTGGCTCCAACGAACCAGGACCTACAACATGCACTGGGACGGTTTGCAGCCGAGTGTGAAGCGGCTGGGATGAGAATCAGCACCTCCAAATCCGAGGCCATGGTGCTCGACCGGAAAAAGGTGCCCTGCCATCTCCGGGTGGGTGGAGAGGCCCTTCCTCAAGTGGAGGAGTTCAAGTATCTCGGGGTCTTGTTCACGAGTGAGGGAAGGATGGAGCGTGAGATTGACAGGCGGATCGGTGCAGCGTGCGCAGTGATGCTGTCGCTGTATCGGACCGTTGTGGTAAAGAGGGAGCTGAGCCGAAAGGCAAAGCTCTCAATTTACCGGTCAATCTTCGTTCCCTCCCTCACCTATGGTCATGAGCTTTGGGTAATGACCGAAAGAACGAGATCGCGGATACAAGCGGTCGAAATGAGCTTCCTCCGCAGAGTGGCTGGGCGCTCCCTTAGAGATAGGGTGAGGAGCTCAGTCACACGGGAGGAGCTCGGAGTAGAGCCGCTGCTACTCCACGTCGAGAGGAACCAGTTGAGGTGGCTCGGGCATCTGTTCCGGATGCCTCCTGGACGCCTCCCTGGGGAGGTGTTCCGGGCACGTCCCACCGGGAGGAGGCCCCGGGGAAGACCCAGGACACGCTGGAGGGACTATGTCTCTCAGCTGGCCTGGGAACGCCTTGGAGTCCCCCCGGACGAGCTGGAGGAGGTGTGTGTGGATAGGGAAGTCTGGGCGTCTCTGCTTAGACTGCTGCCCCCGCGACCCGGCAACGGATGAAGCGGAAGAAAATGGATGGATGGATGGATGGATATAACATTACACTTTGACAAATACAAATACAAAATAAATACTAAAATAACATAATGCATAGCCATTTGACAAATGAATAGACAATTGAATTAAGGTGCCAATAGTCTTCCATATCTATCGTCACCATAATGATAATAAAGACATCTTGCATTATTTTACACATAATATTGATTTGTTCCAGCCATAAACACAACATAAATCCAAATATCCGGTCTCACATGTGACTTCCTTGTGTTCCGTGCAGTCGGTGCTGGTGCCGGAGGCCAGTGAGTTCCCCCAGTGGGAGCCAGAGGGCGCTGTTTCTGTGTGTCCTGTGACTGCGGTGATCCCCGCTTGGAGAAGTCTGACCACTTTAGACCTGAGCCGCAATGACATCAGCGCCGTGGACTCCTCTGTGGTATTAAGATATAAGTATAACACTTTTCTATGAATGAAATGAATGAAAACAACAGAAATACAAGACGACAACAACAAAAATGTCAACAAGACTTAACACTTATTTATTATTCTTTATTTATTTGTTTGTATATTCCCTTTACATTTGTGCAGCATATGGGCACAGAAGGAAGACACACAGAAGGAAGACACAAAGCCTAATGAACCCTGTCCCACGTTTAGCTGGTAGCAAAGACATTTTAACATTTTCACCCCCAACATCATCCGTCACCAATTTTTCCATGTTTATTGTCAAAATATAGATTGGTAAATGAGTTTCGTGATTTAAGCTAAAGGGTTAATGTTTGTTCCTCAGTTCTTTGTGTTATTTGCAAAGCTTTGCATCGGCTTTGTTTTACTCCATCGGGTGTTGGTTTAGTGTTTCATCACATGACAACCTGCGGCTTATATTCAAGTGTGGCCTGTATGTGGACAAAATGTACTTCCTTTTGAAATTTAGCTTTATATACAGGTATTGTTTAATAGTCCCGTAAGTACTGTATTAAACTATTCAGGTGCTAAAGTAGCAGAATGGCTGCTTAAGCTTCCCAAAAATGTTTGCCCCAATTATGCTTACATATTTTCAAGTTTAATAATTTCAGTTATTGATTTTAGTATTCCATCTCCTTATAAAGTTTCAGGACTCACAATGTATTTATATAGTTCACATTTCTTCTTTTCTTCTTCAAGAAACTCATCCCCAAAGTGGAGTTTTTGGATCTGAGCCACAACCAGCTGTCGTCAGTTGAAAACCTGCAGGTAAAAGAAACTATATATGTGGTTAATGGTAGCTGTTTGACTTGGAGTTCCATAGAATAGTACCTTAGGGTTCCAGTAGATCAATAAATATTGTATAGATATTATAATATAGGACATAGTCTGTTGTCAGTGTGAATAAGTGTGTTGTTGAGCATAGTTTTTGAGTAACAGTGAAACCCATGTATTACTTGTATACTATGTTGTACATTCTGGTCTCATTGCAGCACCTGTACAGCCTGGTTCACGTGGACCTATCGCACAACTCTCTCTGCTCTCTGGATGCGGCACACACTCGACTGGGAAACATCAAAACTCTGGGTCTGTCCGGAAACCAGCTCAGCAGCCTCCAGGGGCTCAGCAAACTCTACTCTTTAGTCAACCTGGACCTCAGCCTCAACCAGCTCGCACAGGTCAGAACGATTAGAACGACTAGTCTCTCTTTAGGTTGCGTTCATGCGACACGGCGGAAAAACAGTTCATGCTTTTGCTTCATAACAAGAAGTTCCACCTTCAGACCGGGCCTTACTGTGTGGAGTTTGCATGTTCTCCTCATGTCTGTGTAGGTTTCTTCCAAAGGCCCCGTTTTCACCTACCTCTACAAATACGTACAATGACATGTGAATGAATGAGTGTGTTTGTGACTGTGAAACAACGGAGAGGTGTATTCATTAAACTGCACTGTCCCAAAGCAATAAAAGATTAAAATAAACAATAAGCTTTTAGTGTGAAGTTGTGGTGGCGGGCAGTTGGATTATCTTTCCTGGTAAATAAGGTGAATTTAGACTGAATTTCACTCCAATCTCTGGGTCAATCCACAAAGTTCCATCTCTTCTTTGTCAGCACATATCAACTGTGGTCTTTGTTGTTTTCTTACAAAGGTATGTAGAAGTAGTGACGGTATGAAAAAACATATGCATGACTTTGGCCAGTAGAAAGGACATTCAGACATGAGAATAATATGGTGGCTTTGTGCATTTTCTTTTTCAGCATTTCTTTCCCATAATGCTGTAGTTGGCGCCTCCAACTGTAAATGCAAATCTACAACATGAACACAACCTATTATTATAACTAGTTTTATACTAATATTTTAAACACTGAGATTTGAGTCTATTCCCAATTATGTTTATAGTTGTTGTGGCTTTTGACGTTTTGGAAATGTAGATTATTTGGGTTCAAAATATGAATCTCTAAATTTAAAAGAAAGGAAGGTGTTGTATCATTGCTGAAACATGAGCCTCGCGTTGGTGGCATTAGATTTGATGCCATGCGGCCTTTCGTTTGTGTTGCAGCTGGAGGAGATCAGGAACATCGGGTCGCTGCCTTGTCTGGAGAAACTCAACCTGACGGACAATCCCATGTGCATCATCCCAGATTACAGGACCAAAGTGCTGGCTCAGTTTGGTGACAGAGTGACAGAGGTAGGAGAATTTGTCTAACCAGTTCATTCACAACCCAGAAATGTAAATTATTCGAAAATAACTAAAATGCTGAAAAGTCTCGTTATATACATTCATCAATAATTAGTATGATTTACAATTCTGTTATTGGAATACATTACCATTTTGTTATTGTTGATTCGGTCTTGTGTTTTTTTTTTCCATTTTTGTTTCTCATTCCATGTCACAGGTTTGTTTGGATGGAAAACCTACCACAGAGAAGGAGTTGGACACAGTCGAGGTGCTAAAAGCCATTCAGAAAGCCAAAGAAATGAAAGACCGCAAGAACAACCCGAGCAGCACAGAGAAAAAGGTAAAACACACACAGGATTTTAGCATATTTTTCAGGGGTTAGCAAAAGAAATTGAAGCCGCATTGGGACGCTTGGTACTTCAGCTTGGTACTAATTTTAATGTCTTCACGTTTTATCCTACAATACAGTACTTGCTGGACAAATCGCATCCGTCAAATTTGAAAAGAAAGTCGTTTTTGTCCACATAAAGGCCGCACTGGAATATAAGCCGCAGGAACAAAGCTGATAGACGACACACACATGATTTAACGAGAAGGTTTTTAAAAGCACTGTTGATTCGTGATGACATCTAATTTGACAGTAAACGTATTTCCCATCTCGACGAGTACTTGACGGAGACAAAATAGTGTAACAACAAGATTTAACTTAAAACGCGTGAAACCTCAGGGGACGGCAGTAGCTCGGTTGGTACAGGGTGTGTTCTCTGAGTGTATCCTCCAACATAAGCATTAATGGTTGAGTTGGTGATACAGCTGCCATGTGTTCTTGGGCAAGGCACTTAACCCGCCTCGCCCCCCGTGTTTGTGTGAAAAGGTAGAAAGTAAGTAAGAAATCTTTATTTATATACCGCCCATCACAGACCAGAGTCACAAAACGGTTTACAATTGTGAGCATTTGTCTCGCTCCACACAGAGATGGGGAGCACTAAATAAATCTGAAAATGTCTACCAAAATAAGAATGCATACACTGGCCACATCACAATAGGACGCAGAGTTTAAAAAATTGGCAAAAAGTAGCGGCTTAGTCTAGCAAGTAGTGTACTTTTTACCACTGCATGGATATAAACATGGGCAAAGAGGCGGTGCATGTGAATTAGCCTGAATAAAAAAGTTAAATGAATTGGAAACATTGGAGTTCCTTGTCCATGTGTATGTGCTGCGTGTGGTTCCACTCAGTTCAGTGCAGGTTTTTTGATTTTCTGTTTCTCTTGTTTGTGTTCCTGTCTGTTCTCCTTCTCTGTGGCCAGCTGCCAGCCCTCCCCAGCCAAGGTAATCATGTATGTATCTGGCTGTGTGGGCAAAGGGGCATGGGGGGCTCTGGGCAGCAGCCACATGGCGGATCAATGTCATTTACATTCAATAACGCACAATATTAGTTTTAGAGATTGTACTCGCAGCCACAGTGAGAGAACTGACATGCCTCTACCATCGCTCACTCTACCGCTGTAACGATTGTTTTGATAAATCGATTAGTTGGACGATTACATATGACTTAAACAATGTTCAATTGATGCCTTGATACACATTGGGTTGTTTGTTAAAAAGTCATAATTCTGCAGTAATTATAGAATTATCTTCCAGCATGTTAAACTATGTTATTATTTACTGCACAAAAGGAGTGAGCTGAAGCAAAAAGCCAAAAGTCAATTACTATCAAACTTTCCATATCACAATGAAAATAGTGCAGAAATGGGACACACAGGCAGACCAATCAAACTACATATGCACATAGAATAGGCAACAATTTAACAGAATAGGGAATAGGTCATACAATTGGCTATAGGAGGTGAAACAGGTGATTCATTGATTTACTAAATTAATTGACTACTATTTCCATAATAAATGAATCAATATCTGCAACCTAAAAGCACACCCACTTTGCGTTTGATTGTGTTTGAGTGTGAAAAGCATGCTCTGGGTTAGGTGTATATTTAATGGTAATAATTTCTCACTATCATCTGAACATCTGGCTGCTGCATTCAGAAAACATACTGTATTCCATGTTCTCTCATTGTAATGAATAGTTTATCATCACGTTTGGTTATCCTGATTACTGTTATGTGCAGACAGTTTGACCTCCTCAGACCGTCGTGACTGGTTTTGTTTCCTGTTTTTTCGTAGCGGTAACGAGCAGCAGAGAGGAAACAGCGGTAGCTCCCAGTGTTCTATACAAAATGGACGTCACGCCTTCATCGAACAAATCCCAAGTCCCTCACCCCAGCTCTGCTCCTGTGGACCAGGTCTACTCTCCTAAAGTCTTACTAAATTGTGTGTCTCTCTCTCTGTCTGTCTCTCTGTGTCTGTCTGTCTCTGTCTCTCTGTGTCTCTGGCTTTGTCTTTGTGTTCCTCTGTTTCTGTCTGTCTCTTTCTCTGTCTCGCTGTTTCTGTCTGTCTCTGTGTCTTTCCTCTGTATCAGTCTCTGTCTTTCTCTGTATCTGTCTCGTCTCTCTGTGTCTTTACTGTGTCTGTCTCTCTCTGTCTCTGTCTTTCTCTGTATGTCTCTGTATCAGTCTCTCTATTTTTCTGTGTCTGTCTGTCTCTGTGTCTTTCTCTGTATCTGTCTCTCTGTCTCTGTATCAGTCTCTCTATTTCTGTCTGTCTTTCTCTGTATCTGTTTCTGTCTGTCTCTGTATCAGTCTCTCTATTTCTGTCTGTCTTTCTCTGTATCGGTCTCTGTCTGTCTCTGTATCAGTCTTTCTATTTCTGTCTGTCTCTGTCTTTCTCTGCATCTGTCTCTGTCTGTCTCTGTATCAGTCTCTCTATTTCTGTCTGTCTTTCTCTGTATCTGTCTGTCTCTGTATCTGTCTCTCTGTCTCTGTATCAGTCTTTGCCTCTGTCTCTGTCTTTCATGTTAAAGATGGATTATCCTCATGTTTTCAGAGCCAAACACACATGGAACACTGTGGAGCTCCCCCTGCTCCTGTCTGGTCAGTCTGAGTTCTGCAAAATATCTCACAAGAGCTGCTCATTTGTACTGATGGACATTTTCTCTCCCAGCTGCATCTGCTCTCCCCCCACCCCCCACACACAGCCCTCCTGCTTCTTCTGCAGCGCCCCCTACTGTCCACTACTGCCCTCTCAGTTCGTCGCTCTCGGCACAAATAAAGACTTCATTTCTCAGCTTTCCTTGCTCCTCACCGCTGCTCTGAGTGAGGACGCTGGAGAGAAGGAGGCAACGCTACAGGGGGAAGAGGAGGAGCCAAATGATCAACCTGAAAAAACTGAGCTGAACGACATAAGGTCAGACATGCATGGATCAACTGCTTCGGTGTGTCGAAGCGTTTCATTGGCTCAATATGTTTCCCAGCTTCGCATTTGTTCAGAGCATTATATGGCGCTTCCTTGGTGTGACCGCTTTCAGTATAAATGATGAATCAATTTTTCTTTACAAAGTTGGGTAATGAGGAGACAGAGTGGTGAACTTGGCGACTTTAATGGTATCTGCAAGTGAAAAACGGAGATGCCTGGTTTGGGTTCGTTTTTATTCAACAACCAAACAAGCAATTGTCTCATCAAATTATAATTTAATGTAATCTACCATTAAATTATAGCGACAGTGGCTCAGTTGGTAGAGCATAGACCTTAGAGCCTGAAGGTCGTGGGTTTGAGCCTACCATGAGACCTACTTCACGACTCCCACTGTTGACTGCTGTCGTTGTGTCCTTGGGCAAGACACTTAACCCCACTTTGCCCAAAGCCCCTGCTGAAAGATCAAGGCTCCTGTGGACTCACCACCTGCAGGAGGATCAGAGAGGGGCTGGTGCTCTGTGTACTGGGTGTAGCTCTGACTGCCACCCCCCCACCGACCCAGAAATGGATTAAGGGGAAGAAAATGGATGGATGGATGGTAATCTACCATTTTTGTTTCATGGTGAAATAGTCAATATTAAAATGTGGTGCGGTGCGTGCTGTGCTCTCAATTCAGAAGCTTGTCCACTAGATGTCAGAGTTACAAGCTTGTCTAAGCTAAGAGTCATCGACTCATTTGAAAAAAACTAGCAAATAGCCGTGGTGTGTTACGGCCCGTAACACACCACGGATGAAGCCCCGCAACTTACGGGGCTTCATCTGCCCATTGCTACTAAATAGTTTGGCGGTCGCTGTCATAGAGTATAAATGAAGTCAGCGGGCTACAGACTTATCTCAGTAAATTCTGCTTTTACAATGTACATGTTTTAGATTATAAGACATATATTCATACAGGCGTTACTTTCAACATTTAGACATACCAGTTAGTATGTCATGTAATTGGAGGTTCTTTGGAAGGCAGAGAGTTGGTGACTTGACGTTGTCTTTGTCTTTGCTCGTCCAGTCCAGGCTCAAGGGATGGATATTTCGAGATGGGATTGGACGACTCATTAGAAGAATCGACTTCCACCTCACTTCCCGTTCATGGCCCTTCTCTCCCAGTGGCAGAGGAAAAGGAGATCCAGCAGGAGGAGGTCCGACACGAAGAGGTCCAGTGTGAGGGGGCGGAGGTCTGTAAAACTGCCTGGTGCATCTGCCTTCAGCAGAGGAGTGAGGACGAGACTTGCATGAACACGACCTGTTTGGTGCTGACAGATCGGGTTCTTGGACTGCTCTTCCTGTCACATGACTTCAGTCCCACCAATCAGGATGCAGGTAGGCCTGTCACCATAGTTACTATATCAATTTATTGTTCAATACTTGATGGAAGGGACGAAATCCAATCAGCGATGTGCTCATTAGACCCTACACAGAACTCTTGGTACAGGACTGATCCAAGTATCAGGATCCTCTGCACAGGTGTTTTATTGTAAATAACTGTACACGTTTATACTAATAATGTCTTATGTTTGAACTGTACGACCTGCCCGTGCAGAAAAATCCTCTTTCTATTGTGCAAGTAACAGAACAAACATTTTGATATTATCAATGTATGAATTATACAGTATCAACATTTGTTATGTAAGTATGTAACCTCAATTTTTAAACCGTTTTGTTTTATAATTGTTGTTGGCATTATACACATTTCCCAGGGACAACAGCTGAAAACTAGCTTAGAAGCTAATGCTTACACATTTACAGAAATGTTCATTAATGTGTAATGTCCCTGTCTAATAATAGTATTGAAATAATCCATGTCCATAATTGTGTCCATTGGTTTGTTGCCAGAGCAGTAAACAATTGAACGAGTTCTGCAAATGTATAAATCATATGTTTGGTGCATTGTGTCGACACAAATCATTTGTGTGATGTATTAGGAAGTAATATTTGCGTGGATATTTCATATTCCATATTTCTCTCTTTCAGACCCGAGTGTCTCTCTGCCACAGCTGATCTCTTCTCTCCAAAAGCCTCTCCTTCTCCCCCTCTCGGACCTGCAGCTCTGCTCAGACCAGCACCAGAACTGCCTCTGCCTTCGATCCAAGTCCTCCAACACTCAGTGGCTCTTTTTTTCTGACCACAATGAGCTTCGACTAATCAGGCACGAGTTGATAAAACTCCTTCAGGTAAATACTTCTTAAGACGTTCATTCTGTTTTTACATGCCGTAATCATACTTGAAAAGGAGCAATATATAGATCTCACTCTAACATCAATGCCCCTTTACTAAACACCAGTTACTGGTCTTTCAGATGGACCTGGAGAGCCTCGAGGAGCCCAGTCCTGGTCTGCCCTCATCCCTGTTGAACTCATGGGAGCATGAAGAGTCTCGTTCAGTTGACGGAGGTTTTACAGCTCTGCTCTTCCTCTCCTCCTCCTCATCCTCCTCTTCAGAGTCGCTGCATCCACTGCTCCAGAACGTGCTGAGTCCAGCCCCTCACCTGCCCTGCCTGCTCTTCCTCTCTCACCGACAGCTCTATGTCTGGGTCCTGGATTACAGAGACCGGACTGAACCAGGTCTGCAGCAGTCCTCGTCTCGTCTTGTTCGGTTTCCGCTCGGTTCAGTCGTGGTTCACAGTCGAGAAGAGAACTGCTGCTGTGACAGTCCACATCACAAACTAAGGTGAGACATGTTTAGACCACGTTCTATTCTTATCCAGCAGAGACTGGTTTAGATTCAATCTTATCGTTGGGATCATGGCTTTCTGTTATATACATATTACGACCTTTTTCCTCATTCAAATGATTCAAATAATGGATGATCAGCTCATGCGTCTGGTCTTTGCAGCTGGAATCACAGTGTGGAGCTTCTGCTGTGTGGACACCGGCTGCTGCTGCTCTTCCCTCTGCCTCAGGATGGGGCTTCGTTCCTGGGGAAGCTCAGGCTCCAGCGGGCCTCTCTCGAAGGCGTTTGGGTGGTCGCTCTACCACAGACAAAAGCTCTCATAAACCACCAGGGTATAAAAACGGAGTACAAATGTGAAAAAAGGTGGGAGGACATCTTTTTAATCAGTGTTTTTGCGTGTAGGCGGTCCAAGTTCTGGAGAGCAGTGCTGTTGTTCCCATAAGGCTCACAGTGACAGGTAAGACCTCAATAACACTAATGCTTTAGCAGTTCAACCCTAGCCTGGCCTTAGCCTGGCCTTAGCCTGGCCTTAGCGATCCGTCACTTCAGTAAATGATCATTTCCTACATGTACACATGGGTCTGATCCTAGTGGCTGCAGTTTCCTCTGTTGAATTCCCTCCGATCAATCAGCGAGCGGGGGAGGCAGGTGTTGTAGGGAGGTGTTTGTGACATCAAGAGTTTGAGCCGAATTTGCTGGTTGTAGTTTGGCAGAGAATGCGATTAGTAAAATAATCGGTTCTGGTTTGGCTCCAAATATCAAGAAATTGAAGTCTGAGCAAGAAGAATGTTTAGTAAATGTCATTGCTGCAAAGACACGGGCTCCGTTAGTGGCAAAGGAGATTGCTAAAGCTAGGTTAAATGATAAATACCTCACTCACTGCATTAAATACATCACGGTAAACTCTGATCAAATCGACCTTTGTAGAAGACCTTAGTATGATGGTTATTATGTCACGTAGGGTCATCACAAAGCACCGCAACAACACATTTTGTTTCATATTGTAAGGGGCTTGTTGTAAATAGTTATATTTACCTTATGTTTTGCTATTTTGTAAAAACGACTTCACAGGCAAAATTTCTCTCCTCAGTTTGTCGTCACTTTCTACTTCGCTGGAAGAGATGCAGCCCTCCCCCCACCTCACACCCGGTCTCACCCCAGGCCTGAAGCTCCTCTCTGGGTTGAACGCTCAGCAGCTGCAGCCTGTCTTCCACAAACACATTGCTCTGGTAAAGCATCACCAGGGGGGGACAAAACTGTCTAAATTGCCATAATAGTTCTTCGTTATACTCACCTGACTTGAACACGTCTCATGGTCGTTCCCTGGACCATGTTCTTATGGTGCAAATGTAACGTCCGGAGTCCTGTGTGCTTCAGAGCGGCGGAGAGGAGCTGAGGCAGGTCCTGTGGCTCTCTGTGGTTCTCTACAAATCTCCTGAGGTTGAACTCACCTGTTTGCTGCTGCTCTCTGCAAACGCCATCTACTTCCTATTAGAAGACTCCGCCTCCTCGCTTGGCCCGCCCCCAGGTATCATCACTGGAAAAAACAAATGTATACAGATATATTAAAAGAACAAATAATATCCCCACCCTGACATTAGCGTGGGATAAATGTTCTAAAGTAAATCATTACAAAATTCACGATTGCTTGAAATTAGTAGTTTTTTATCTTGATAGAAGTATGCTTAGACTCTCAAATAATAAGATTTCACCAATGGTTTATCTAATTTTCAAGTCATTTAGGCCGATGGAGGACATCTTTTCAAAGAAGAATTTAAAATTTTCACATTTTGGGCCATCAAAACGTATTAGAAAGTAAATGGGGCTTTCATGCTTTAGAAATACTTTTTGAATTTGTGAAATAATTAGAAAATATATGGTTTTACAAATATGACGGGCAGACGATGCTATCGGCCTTCCCTACGCTACCACCAGAGGGAGCTGCAGAAATAGTTTTTTTATTTTTTTCCCCCCAAATTTGAAAATCACCGGCTGCGTGGCTGCGTCAAAACTGCTCAAAAAACAAACTGCTGAGTGTGATGTCATAGTGGTACAATGACATCAGAGTATTACAGGACGGACATTTTTTTTGAATCAAAAACGTCTTCAAGTTTGTTTTGGATGAGGAATATTGTAACCTAGTAGAAGCTCAAAAAAGCTCATTTTGCTTACAATGCATCCTTTAAATGCGATGGCCCTTTTTATTTCGTAACGATAGAATGTGGTCTCGTCCCACTCCTTTTTATTTGTATAATATTTGTGTTTGATCCGTCCACAGACCTGGATGTGCTGGAGTGCGGAGATTCCTCCGTGTGCTTGTGCTGCTGCCTCTCGGTCCCTCTGTCTCAAATTCAGTCTGTAAACGTGGGGTTGTTCGACCAGTACTTCAGGATCCAAGGTCAATCCTCATCAATCACTTCTTGCACTTTTTATTCATATTATTCTTATCACTTGTTTGACCCAGTTTATGGTCAACATCTCTGTAATTGCATGATACTGTTACAAAGTTGGATTTTATTTTATCATATTTTACTGGAGGCAAAACATTGTTGTATACACTCGTTAAATAAGAAGTGGTTGGTTTGATTCTGTCAAATTCAGTGCGTAAATAAAATTTGTGTTGGCGCAATTTATAAATGGAGGGTCTTGCGTTCAAGAAAAAACCTGGGAAATTCTGGCCCTGGAAGAAAAAATATAAATTAATTGGTTTTGAAAAATTGAAAAAAAAAAAAAAAAACATGTTTTGGAATACAAAGAAAGGTCACTCACCCATTATCTGTACTTCAGTTAGCAGGTTTTCCCAACATTTTGTTCTTAATTCAAATAACTTCCTCATGAGAATGAAGGCTCAGCCCCTGATCCTGAGGCTAACTCATAAATAAATAAACACATCTAAGGTCTGTGAACATGTGGTAGGAAGCAGGTCTAACGATCTTGCTAGGGCTAACAATCCTACCTCATTAGCATGTCACTGACCTATTGCTGAGGTTGCTTGTGTGGAGTGCAGGTCTAACCATCCAAACTCATTAGCATTAGCTCATTAGCATAAAGTCATTATGTTATCCTTTGTTTTAGACAGACTTTATTGATCCACAAGGGAAATTGCGTTGTCACAGTAGCTTGCATAGTATTTCACAATAAAAATAAAAAGGTATTAATCTGAAAACAAGAATACTAATAAGATAGTATTGTGAGAGTAGAGTAATCTGGATATAGGTGTTCAGGAATATACTTATCTGTGAATATGTACACATTTACAGTATAAAATAATAGGATACTACATTCAATATATACAATATATATCTGTCACAGAGCGGTGACTTGTTGTACAGCAAGATGGAGTGTTACACAAACTTATCTTTTGGAATAGTCGTTTCCAATGACATGTATCTTCCAACGCTTTCATATTGACTCTAGAATTATAATGTATATAACATGTGGTTTCCCCTCTTGTTTGTAGGGGGCAGTGGGGACCAGGTGGTGTGTTGCTTAAGCAGAGACTCTTACGCCACGGGGCAGTTTCTACAGGAGTTAATGTCGGTCCTCAGTCTCCAGCAGAGGGCGCCACCTCCAGAACCCTCTGAACAAGACTTTTACTCTGAGTTCAACTCCTCAGGTCTCTATAACCTACACAATGAAGTTCAAAAGAGCAGTGTATTACCATAGTGGACTAATTGAGGCTGACGTCGCCCATAGTATTTTCGGAATGTGGGAAAAGCTGATTTGAATGTATGCTAGCTGGAACCAATTTCCTTATATGGGCATTTGTTCCATTGGGTTTAGCCATAACTGGGGCTGATGCAATAGTGGTTGTTAAGGCAGGAGGGAATGCATCTGAGCGGTCAATCAATATATTTCTCATATCTGGATTTACAAAGACATCAACATATAAACACCAGGGTCACAGAGTCACGAGACCCACAGCATTTTACGCACAAAATAGGTGGAGGAGTTTATCGTCAATCGAAGCCAGAGCGAGTATGAGCAAGTCTTGGTCCATGTGCACTTCCCTGTTGGGCTTCATTGAGCTAAGGAGTTAGCATTGTCCATCTACATACAGTCTTACATGTAATAACTATTCAAAAGCAGCACTTAAAGATCTATTTGTCTCCCTCTGCAGGAAAGATGCGGAACTACGAGCTGGTCCACAGCCGAGTGAAGTTCATCTATCCCAGTGAAGAGGAGATGGGAGACCTGACTTTTATTGTGGCAGAGAGAAAGAACGGCTGTGCATCTTCCTCACGCAGCTTTAACATCCTCCTCTACCTCCTCGTGTTCCAGGTACATGTTTGTTTCATGTTCAAATCCAGTGTCAAATACCAAACAAGGACTAAGCTGCCGATTAGTGAGGCCTGGTTTAATGCAGTTTGTGACTTCATCTGCTTTCCCTTCTGTTGCATGTGCTGGACTTAAAACGCTCACATTCTTGACTTGTTTTGTGTGTGGTTAAGGTGATACATCAGAGCTCCACCCCCTCTGGTTCTGGCCCCGCCCCCGCCCCCGCCCCCTGCAGCTCGGGTCCGGTGTTGCAGCCACGGACTCTGATCCTCACCAGCACAGACGTGTTTCTGCTGGACGAGGACTACGTCAGTTACCCTCTGCCCGACTTCGCCAAAGAGCCCCCATCGAGGTGAGGTCAGACCCCAACGTCCACAAATGTCATGGCCCATTCTATGCGAGACAGCGAGTGAGGGAGCTTCCACCTTGTAGTCGCCATATTTTAGCTACTCTTATTTCTCCTTCTATTCTGCTGTAATGTGCAATCTCAATATTAAAATGGGTGGATCATAAACAGCACCAAGTTTGTTTTGGATGAGGGAATATTGTAACTTGGTTGAACAATAATAATAATAATACATCAAACTTATATAGTGCTTTTTTGGACGCTTTACAAAACACATACAATTAAACATTGAAGAATCAAATGAAGGAAAGGCTGAAATGGGCGAGTTCCAGAGAGTGGGGGCGGCTGCAGTGAAGGCTCGGTCCCCAAGGTCCGGTGTTTAGTCCTGAGGGGAAGGAGGAGGTTGGAGTCGAAGCTAAAAAAAAAAAGCTAATTTTTCTTACAAGAGGGGTGTCCATACTTTTTAAACCTTGATTTAAAAAACTGGATTCAAGCTGGATTTTGGAATTTAAAACGATTTGATACGTCGTTTTGATTCACACCACAGTTGCATTTTATTTTGAATGTTGGGACACAATCATAAAACAAATGTCAGTAAATAACAAAAGTCGAGAACAACAAGGTATAGCACGACTGTATTGGTGGAGCTGAAGTTGGTTGGATGACACAATGACTTTGTGTTGGCAACAGAGGGCCACATAAAATATAAAGTTTTATCTTGTCTTGATTCTGTCTTTCCTCTCACACCAGGTTATTCAGCTTTGTCTCTGTTATCTTGTCCTGTAGGGAGCGCTACCATCTGCGCGAGGCCCGGCGGATCCGTGACCTGGACCGCGTTCTGCTGGGATATCAGACTTACCCACAAGCTCTGACGCTGGTCTTCGACGAGCTGCCGGGTCCGGACCTGCTGTGCCCGCTGTCACTGGACCATTTCTCGGCTCAGGTCACGCCCGCTGAACACGATACACCTGCTCCCGGGGGCGGGGCCAGGAGTCCAGGAGGCGGGGCTTACTCTGGAGAGGTGCAGTGGTGCGTGTTTGTCCCGTCTGCAGACAGCAGAGAGAGGCTGATCTCGCTGTTGGCGCGGCAGTGGGAGATGCTGTGCAGTAGGGAGCTTCCCGTGGAACTGACTGGATGATAGAAAGTCGTATTGTTAAAGAAAAATGACTTTGTTAAAATGAGGCTCCAGCTGCACTACCTAAACACCTAGTTCTCTGTGCGTTTGTTTTCGGAATAACCAAACATGACAAGATCAACGACAAAGGGGAGCGACCACTAAAGTCTGCACCTTTCTGGATAAATATGGGAAGTAGTTTAGCTTTTATAAACAAATGCGTGGATATAAACGGACAATTATAAAGGTTATGCCAAGTCGTCTTTGTCACAGGGTGGATTCACTCAATATCAAAACAAAAGTTTAATTTTTTGTATATTATAAGCACAGAAAATACACTCTTCTTTTATGAAACAGGTTTTCACAGCAGTATTTCAGTATTTCTATTGTCTTGCATTTTTTCCCTGTTTTGCACAATATTTCTGGCTAAAGCACTTTCATAAGAACTCAACGGTTCATTAGACTCATGTGTGATCCATTGTGTAACTTTGAAAATGGGGGAAATGAAGCCATCACTTCACAGACACCTGACCCTGTGTGTCGGCCAGTCTGGAGCTGCATAAAACCATATTATTATTATTATTATTATTATTATTATTATTATTACTGCTTCTTCTTCTCTATTTAATGCAGGTTGTGCTCACATTTTTCTTCCTCAACGTCTAAAACTTTTAAGGGTTTAAATGTTTTCTTTTACTTGTTTTTGTTGGTAAATAAACCATTTTTACATCTGGTTTTTATCCAATGGAATCTTTTGTAAGTGTTATTGTGAATCGGGGAAACATTGGACTGGATCAGGACCAGTGTGTGTAATTCTTTTAAAACATTTTATTTAATACAAACTGTATATCCTTTTATGAACTGTGTAAAACTCATTTGGCTTTGTATGAAGTATGTCCAAGACTTTTATTGTTTTTGTACAGTTTTATGTGTAAATGACCACTATTTATTATCAATTGACTTCAATAAACTAATATTGTTGAAAATGCTTTGATCTTTATTTGTGGTTATAGTTATGGACACGTTTCTGACTCCAGGGGTTTTTGAAAACATTTGGACCAGAGCTGGACTCAGCAGTTGCTTTTGATGTGTAGGCACTTTACCAGCACCTTTCTGCTTCCTGTCTGTTCGACCTCACTTCCTGTTCGTGACGGTCTGTACACGAGGAATCAGCAGAAAATATCGGACATTGAACAAGGAATGCTACTGATCAGCGGAAAACTAGGAACAGACGAAAGATAACGAGAATACAAAATAAATGATGCCAAAAACATGACACAGCTAATGTTTAAAGTACAATATGTACAATTGATTGTTCTGACCATTCTGTTTGTGTACTTTGAGTACTTTGAGTATCAATCATTTATTTGTACAGCACTATTGTATTGTTTATAAAGTCACTTTACTGCTGTCACCTTATTGCACTGCTCAGTGCTTACTGCATATTACTGTGCACCATGTGCAATTGTATAGTCATTGAAATTGTAATCATTTTATTTAAATTTTTATACCTTAGTGTTGCTGATTTTTATTATGCCTTACTCTATTTTTCACCTCTCTTCTTTGACTGTTGCACTGAGAGCCAAAGCAACTCCCTAGTCTGACTTCCTGTGACTTAATAATGTATCGGTTTTATAAAGTGCTTTTCTGGACACAAAGACGCTTTACATGTGATTATTCATTCACTCCATAAACAGTGGTGATAAACTACTACTGTAGCCACAGCTGCCCTGGGGCACACTAACAGAAGCGACGCAACCAGAATGTGCCATCGGCCCCTCCGACCACCACCAACCATTCACATTCTAGGCAATGGGGGTGAAGTGTCTTGCCTAAAGACACAACGGCAGTTTGGCACTTTAAAGCCGCAGTTGCCCCACTGTGGCACATACTGTGTGTTTCCCATGTTCCTGCTGCTTCCTAAACGCATCCATGAGTCTGATGCAGCGTTTTCAGTGTTTTATCGGTTTCCTTTCATTGTTCTTTACCCTGACCCCTGAACGTCACCCTCCAACAGGATGTGTTGAGGTGGACTGGATCTGTAGTCTTCAGTGAAACACAGCCTCTGGCACCGTAACGTGTGTTCTGTTTAGGCCTCCATAGACACAATGCGTATTATAATACAGGAGAATTTCTAACATTTTTTTCATCTGTAATCACATTCAAAAATCAGAACAGTTATAATTCTTTACTGATACATGCCAACAAACTATTATAATAAAAAAAAATTGTATTTATAAGCTTTTTGTACTCAGTGATGGAAATTATAGTAACTATAGTTCAATGCATATACTGTATATAACTATTGTTTCTTAGGTAACTGTAATGTATATTTCATATATGTTGGGCCCCTACAGGCGATCGCTCTTGCATAAACACACGAAGCCTGTGGAGGAGGATGTACTTCCAGCATCAGCAGGATTGGAGTGTCGCGAGACACCTCCAGAATAATATATTAATGTCCCCACAGGGAAATGTGTCCTCTGCATCTGCAGTTCACCAATGTCCAGAACCAGGTTACAGTCTGACTAACATCACAGCAGCAAAAGTGGACCTAAATGAAGGGGATTGGATTATTATACGCTTTTTGCTTCGACCAATCCCTTTTCAAACCGTGCACAAATTTTCTTGTTTTCTCTTATTAACCTATTTTCCTGTGAATAATTGTTTGTATCTTGTGCATGTTTGAAATAAATAAACAAATTCAATTAATGATTTAGTGTGTAAAACTAGATAAAACTGGCTTTATTCACAAAACCACAATCTCAAGGCTAATGAGTGAATGTAGCATTTCAAATGTTATACTGACTGTCATGTGAAGCATTTACTGGGTTTGCGGAGAATACTTTCAGAATAAGAATGAGGGAGGTTCTTGTCCTGGTGGAGCCTCCTGCCTGAGGGAGGTTCTAGTCCTGGTGGAGCCTCCTGCCTGAGGGAGGTTCTGGTCCTGGTGGAGCCTCCTGCCTGAGGGGGGTTCTAGTCCTGGTGGAGCCTCCTGCCTGAAGGAGGTTCTGGTCCTGGTGGAGCCTCCTGCCTGAGGGAGGTTCTAGCCCTGGTGGAGCCTCCTGCCTGAGGGAGGTTCTAGCCCTGGTGGAGCCTCCTGCCTGAGGGAGGTTCTAGTCCTGGTGGAGCCTGCTGCCTGAAGGAGGTTCTGGTCCTGGTGGAGCCTCCTGCCTGAAGGAGGTTCTGGTCCTGGTGGAGCCTCCTGCCTGAGGGAGGTTCTAGTCCTGGTGGAGCCTCCTGCCTGAGGGAGGTTCTAGTCCTGGTGGAGCCTCCTGCCTGAGGGAGGTTCTAGGCACCGGGAGAGTTTGGAATAGTGCATGTGCAGATGAGAGGGGTCAGCAGTGGTACGATCAGCCCGCTCTCGAGTCCCCGTCGTACAGGTCCTACAGCGATGGATGGTTGTGGCACATGTATTTAGTTGCAAAATACTGAACACCGTTAAAACATAAAATGTAACGTACTGTATTTGTTTCATGGTCCAATCACAGAACAGTATTCCAAATACTTGGAATACATTCACACTGATTGTCAGAATAACAACTTTTCTTTAGCATCGTTTGTTGTGCTTTTTATGATTACAATATTATAAAAAACACACCTGAACAACTAAATAGAGACACTGATTGTTTTTATAATTTTGTGTAATTTTGCTGCTAGATTTCTTCATCATCAACCCTCAGGCTGTCAGGCTCCTGTCTGTATTCTGAAGACCACAAGAAAAACTCATGCTTTCCCAAAGCATTTGTGAATCTGTGTTCTTCGTAGATGTGTTGAGTTACTCCCCAACAACGATTATTACAAGTACAGTGCCTTGCAAAAGTATTCGGCCCCCATGATCCTTTCAACATTTTGCCACATTTCAGGCTTCAAACATAAAGATATAAAATTTAATTTTTTTGTCATGAATCAACAACAAGTGGGGCACAATTGTGAAGTGGAACGACATTTATTGGATAATTTAAACTTTTTTAACAAATAAAAAACTGAAAAGTGGGGCGTGCAATATTATTCGGCCCCTTTACTTTCAGTGCAGCAAACTCAGTCCAGAAGTTCAGTGAGGATCTTTGAATGATCCAATGTTGTCCTAAATGACTGATGATGATAAATAGAATGCACTTGTGTGTAATCAAGTCTCCGTATAAATGCACCTGCTCTTTGATAGTCTCAGGGTTCTGTTTAAAGCGCAGAGAGAACCATGAAGACAAAGGAACACACCAGGCAGGTCCGAGATACTGTTGTGGAGAAGTTTAAAGCCGGATTTGGATACAAAAAGATTTCCCAAGCTTTAAACATCTCAAGGAGCACTGTGCAAGCAATTATATTGAAATGGAAGGAGTATCAGACCACTGCAAATCTACCAAGACCCGGCCGTCCCTCCAAACTTTCATCTCAAACAAGGAGAAGACTGATCAGAGATACAGCCAAGAGGCCCATGATCGCTCTGGATGAACTGCAGATAACTACAGCTGAGGTGGGAGAGTCTGTCCATAGGACAACAATCAGTCGTGCACTGCACAAATCTGGCCTTTATGGAAGAGTGCCATTTCTCAAAGATATCCATAAAAAGTCTCGTTTAAAGTTTTCCACAAGCCACCTGGGAGACACACCAAACATGTGAAAGAAGGTGCTCTGGTCAAATGAAACCAAAATCGAACTTTTTGGCCACAATGCAAAACGATATGTTTGGCGTAAAAGCAACACAGCTCATCACCCTGAACACACCATCCCCACTGTCAAACATGGGGGTGGCAGCATCATGCTTTGGGCCTGCTTTTCTTCAGCAGGGACAGGGAAGATGGCTAAAATTGATGGGAAGATGGATGGAGCCAAATACAGGACCATTCTGGAAGAAAACCTTTTGGAGTCTGCAAAAGACCTGAGATTGGGACGGAGATTTATCTTCCAACAGGACAATGATCCAAAACATAAAGCTAAATCTACAATGGAATGGTTCACAAATAGACGTATCCAGGTGTTAGAATGGCCAAGTCAAAGTCCAGACCTGAATCCAATTGAGAATCTGTGGAAAGAGCTGAAGACTGCTGTTCACCAACGCTCTCCATCCAACCTCACTGAGCTCGAGCTGTTTTGCAAGGAAGAATGGGCAAGAATTCCAGTCTCTCGATGTGCAAAACTGATAGAGACATACCCCAAGCAACTTGCAGCTGTAATTGCAGCAAAAGGTGGCGCTACAAAGTATTAGCGCAAGGGGACCAAATAATATTGCACACCCCACTTTTCAGTTTTTTATTTGTTAAAAAAGTTTAAATTATCCAATAAATTTCGTTCCACTTCACGATTGTGTCCCACTTGTTGTTGATTCTTGACAAAAATTGTAATTTTTATATCTTTATGTTTGAAGCCTGAAATGTGGCGAAATGTTGAAAGGTTCAAGGGGGCCGAATACTTTCGCTAGGCACTGTATCACATTGTATCAACTTTTTATCATGTTTTCTACGCACAACTCCATCCACCAACTCTCACACGTCCTGGTTCAGCAGTTATTTCAGAAATGAAGGGAAAAGGAAGTGGACAAGGAAGGAAGTCTAGAGAGAAGCTTCAGGAGCTGTGTCTGTGGAAGTGGGCCATAATTAGTTCTGGTCAAGCCCTGGTTTAGCCCTGGTCCTGGTTCGGTCTGGGTCCAGTCATTGTGCAGTCCTGACTTGTCCTCATTGTGCCTTTTATTCCTCAAAAACAGGAAAAATGTGACGTTGGGGTGGCTTCCTGCTGCTGTGGACTCCCGGATCCTGGTTTACTCTGAATGGACTTAAGGCTTGAACGACCTGGACCTCCATGGGACTATCTTTTCTGGGCCTTTTTGTCGTCTCCCTGGTTTATACCCTTTTGTATCTTCCATTGACGCTCATGCATATTGAATAGACCTTTTAATACTCAGTGGCTCAGTGTGTTTTCAATCCGCTGTCGTCACACCTGTTTGTGGATATTCACCAAAAATGGACTAGTTTTTGGACCATTTGAACCAATGTTTTAAAATTTTTGTGAGGTGTTGATGTCACTAAACTGTAAGTATTTTTAAATAACTTTTTTTCTTCATTATTAGTTCCACAGCAGCTGCATCCACACAGTATAAGAATAGTGTGATGACATCTCATGAATACATAGAGACACATTGTTCAATTTTTGCGGATTTTCTGATCTTTCCTGAACAAATTAATTCTCCGTTATGATTTATTTTCCTCTTTCATTTCCTTTTCAATGTGATTTGGTTCGTGAAGAGGATGCGGCTCTTCTTGCTTTTGGTTGTTGTGACTGCCGTCCAATCAGGCCCCGAAACAAAGGTAAGATTTTCTTTTAACTTATTACTTAAATTATACCAAAAAAAATGTTAAAGTAATATGAAAATGGTATAACTTTCATTGAAAGCTTGAATTAGATTTATACTGTATGTTTGACCAGGATAATTGTGTCAGCTGATGTGACAAGGACAATGCTTTATTAAATCTACACTGGGAAAATGTTCTTTCTCAAAATAAATCTAGGTCTCGTCTAAAAACTCGAGGAGCCTTCTCTGTGGCTGCCCCCAAACTGACAGACACATTTTTAACACCAATTGAGTTTTACCATTTTACTTTTTATGTGTGTATATTCATGCTGTTTTCATTTTTTTATTTTATTTTTCATGTCTGTGAAGCACTTTGGGCGGCTGGTGTTGTTGCAAATGTGCTATACAATAAAAGCTGACGTTGACATTAAACCAACACTAAACACTTGCTTCTATTTTTGCACTTGTGCGTGGATAAGGAAGTCTGGGTGTCTGCCCTCGAAACCAGCAACTGACATGATTGGATGAAGATTATGATTAAGAGATCCTTTATTTGTTCACAGTGGGGACATTTCAGTGTTGCATCATCAGTTACAGAACAGTAGGAATGAGGAGCACACAGCACAAGATATGTGAACAATTATAATTCCACACTAAAATAAAATATCTAACTTTAGCATCAAAAATAAGCATAGATAGTGAGATAGATAGATATTTTTATTGATCCCCGTAGGAGAAATTAAGGTGTCCAGTAGCAGAAGACTCATCCAGGTTTGTTGTACAGTCTGACAGCCTTGTCATGTGAATTTTAGAATTTTTATTCCAAATCGTTTATTTTCAGAAAGGACGTGGCTTCTGTCAATTGGAGGAGCTGATTGAGATCCACAGGCCCTGCACCTCCTGCGCCGTTCACTCTGCCTGTCCAGTGCACTCCACACTCAGGACTCGCAACTGCACGTAAGGACTAGAGATCTTTCCCCTGAACCTGGACTGTGTCTGTGGTTCTCCACTCCTCCTCTGGTCCTCCTCTGGTCCTCCTCCCCTCCTCTAGCCCTCCTCTAGCCCTCCTCACCTCCTGTGGTCCTCCTCTGGTCCTCCTCTGGTCCTCCTCTGGTCCTCCTCCCCTCCTCTAGCCCTCCTCACCTCCTGTGGTCCTCCTCTCTCCTGTGGTCCTCCTCTCTTCTGTGGCCCTCCTCTCCTCTGGTTCTCCTCTCCTCCTTTGGTCCTCCTCTCTCATGTGGTCCTCCTCTCTCCTGTGGTCCTCCTCTCTCCTGTGGTCCTCCTCTCTCATGTGGTCCTCCTCTCTCCTGTGGTCCTCCTCTCTCCTGTGGTCCTCCTCTCTCATGTGGTCCTCCTCTCTCATGTGGTCCTCCTCTCTCCTATATTTCTCTGGGCGGTACGGTGGCTGAGTGGATAGCACTCATGCCTCCTCCTCTCTTCCTCTGGTCCTCCTCTCCTCCTCTGGTCCTCCTCTCTTCCTCTGGTCCTCCTCTCCTCTGGTCCTCCTCTCTCCTCCTCTGGTCCTCATCTCCTCCTCTGGTCTTCCTCTCTCCTCCTCTGTTCCTCCTCTCTCCTCCTCTGGTCCTCATCTCCTCCTCTGGTCCTCATCTCCTCCTCTGCTCCTCCTCTCCTCTGGTCCTCCTCTCTCCTCCTCTGGTCCTCCTCTCTCCTCTGGTCCTCCTCTCCTCTGCTCCTCCTCTCCTCTGGTCCTCCTCTCTCCTCCTCTGGTCCTCCTCTCTCCTCTGGTCCTCCTCTCCTCTGGTCCTCCTCTCTCCTCCTCTGGTCCTCCTCTCCTCTGGTCCTCCTCTCTCCTCTGGTCCTCCTCTCCTCTGGTCCTCCTCTCTCCTCCTCTGGTTCTCATCTCCTCCTCTGGTCCTCCTCTCCTCTGGTCCTCCTCTCTCCTCCTCTGGTCCTCCTCTCTCCTCCTCTGGTCCTCCTCTCTCCTCCTCTGGTCCTCCTCTCTCCTCCTCTGGTCCTCCTCTCTCCTCCTCTGGTCCTCCTCTCTCCTCCTCTGGTCCTCCTCTCTCCTCCTCTGGTCCTCCTCTCTCCTCTGGTCCTCCTCTCTCCTCCTCTGGTCCTCCTCTCTCCTCTGGTGTGTGCAGGTACTATGTGTCCATTGGGGGCCGTGAGCTGGAGCTTTCTGGCTGCAGTACAATCTGTGGGCGCCGCAACTTCAGGTCCAAGTGCTGTCCTCAGTTCTGGGGCCCTCTCTGTCTCGGTGAGTTTGAACGAATGCGTTTTGGTTTTTAGTCAATGGGGGAAAGAAGCATTGAGCAATAAAGCTAATCAAACTACAGATTTAATTAATTTATCCATATGGACTTTTACTATATTTTCCTATTGTTCTATGATTGGAAACAGAAAACATGGGAATGAAAGTATCTGAAAGCTTGGTCCAGATGAAAATAATATTGAAACGTACAAAAAAGACCTTAGAATGTGGTCCATGGCTCCTACACAATGTGACATAGTTTGGTTCTCTCCAGTTTACATGATTTCAATTTTCAAAGCACAAACCTTGGGCTGAGACTATCAAAAGTATAACATTATTTTTATCTTGAATGTCGACACGTGTTTGAACGTTATTATTATAGATCCATGTGTTTGAAGCACAAAGTGTATTATTGACAGACAGTGTAGCTAACATTAGCTTAGCCACGGAGCTGGTGTCGCACGTGCAGCAGTCCGTTGTTGCTAAGTAACGTCAAGAATCAGAAGAATAACGTGTGCGTGATGACATCATTCGCCCAAGTGAGTATTAAATCTTGACTTTTGCGAGTCTTTTGTTAGCTCTGCAAACTTCGAGAATCTTTATTTTTTATGCCCTGGTCATCCCTTGTATTTTCATGTCCGTAAAATAATTTTGTCAGTGTCCTAAGAATTAGCTAGTTGTGAAAATAACTAGCTAGCTGTTAGTTAGCAAACATGAGCTAATGTTTGCTAACTGGAGTTCATGAACGTGGCATATCTTTTTGATGCTTGGTCAACAATCTACTACTATCAAAATTGTGTCGTGCATTGGCCTTACTAACATTATTGTTGTTATAATGTTTGATTGTCATTAGAAGCATTTAAATGTGAGGAAAGAACATTATATTATTTCTGCTTTCTCTTTCAGCTTGTCCAAGTTGGTCTGGAAAAACATGTAACTACAGAGGCTCATGTTCTGATGGAGAGACTGGAAATGGGACGTGCATCTGTGACGTCGGTGTCTATATCCTCCTTTCTATTCTGACACATTGAGTCTGTGCTGATATGAATATGATATGTCTTTCAGGATAAATTCTCTGGTTTCGCTTGTAATGAGTGCAAAAACCCAAACGCATACGGAGTGAACTGTGACAAAGGTATTTTAACTCTGAGATATACGTTTCTGTTTTTTTTTTTTTTTAAAGCATCACCTTGTGTAGAAAGTTTCTTCCTAAACTTTACTAATGCCAGCATGATGAAGTAACTATATCATATTCATTCTGTTTTGTGCCAGAACAGAATGAAACAATATCTTAGTAAAATGACATTTGTTTTGTGTTTCTATTATGTATTATTCATGTTCTTCGTGGCCTGTTGTTTGGTCTCAACTTCCTCACATACAGTAAATGTACTATAGGCTTACTGTAAATGCACAAACCATGTCAATCTACTTTATTCTGAACGTAAAAACATACTGACATGACATCGGCTGTCCTTATTTTATACAAAGATATGAAAAACGTCTAGCAGGAAATTATGTTTTCACCATGGTGTGTCTGTTATTCGTGTTGGATGTTAGCAGCATAACATAAAAGGCAGATTTTTACTTAACAGAACAAGGACCATTATTAGATTGAAGTCACCCTGATCAACCAGACCCTCTTCTTTCTGGAACATGTGAAAGCAGTATTGGAAAATCGTTATTAACACTGATGCATCTGGATCCAGGGTTTCTTTCCCTCCTTTTGCTCCTCTGTGCTCTACAAGCCTTAGAGTCTGAGTCCGGTACCCAGACTCAGGACTAAACATGTGAAATCTGGAACAGTCTTTCTTAAAAAGCGAGACAGGCTTCCACTCTGACGACGTTCAAACCCAGTTCTGTTTAGTTGTTCATACGACTGAAGGAGTGTCTCTTTACTTGTCATTATTTGTGATTATAATAATTTTGTTAAGCAGTTTTTAAAATATGTCTTTTTACAAATGTGTATGCAATGCTGTTCATCCAACAAACCTCTGAATGACCTCAAAAATACGAAATGACTGAATTTCCCTTGTCGTAATGAAATCTGTGTGTTTCAGAATGTGACTGTAACCGTGGCGTCTGTAACAAGGGCCCAGAGGGAGATGGACAGTGCTTCTGCCAGCCTCCGTTCACGGGCAAACGCTGCGACCAACGTAAGCAAAGCAAAATGGTTTATTTCAAATTAGACAGTGAGATGACAACAACAATCTTCCATTTCAAACCATGGATGGATGAGAATATTTAGGAAAGAAATAAGAGCGAAATGATTGAACGCACAACACTGAAAACTAAAAAATACAAAAGACACTGGAGAAACAGCGCATTGAAAATAAATATCATCTAAAAGAACGTAGATTTTCTCAAACTTTTAATCAAAACACATACAATCAAGAACTACCACTGCTGAATTACAGTTATTGTTAGTATTATTAACAACGGTGTTAAAACATGCTCAAGTTACGACACAAAGAGAGACCCAAAAAGTGACACAAGACTGAATGTAAAAATTAACACGTTTATTAATGCAGAGGGAGGTTAGACTGGATGGTCCGTAGGTAAGTAACCCAGAAACTTCCTAGAACATAACAAGATAAGTGCAAGGAAGTCAGTAATTCGATTCAATTCAGACATATTTATTCTATACAAAACCGTTGAATTCGCCAACACAGATCAGAGAAACACACAGTTCAAACACAACAAATGCTGTGATAAAAACACATAAAGCCATTGGTCCATAAGAGGCAGATTGGTCCATTAGAGGCAGATGACCAATGTCCACAAATGTTGTTGAATGTGTCACCTGGATCATCACAAGTGGATGAAAATTGAGGAATGAAGGACCAGTTTGAAAGGAAAATGTCCAAAACCTACACTAGCACCTGCTACAAACCGTCTCCCGCCTCTTAACAAACCATAATCTCTTAATGTGTGTGTGCAGTGAGCTCGGGTTGCCGCTCCTGCCCCCCGTACTCCTTCTGCAGAGGGGATGGAGACGCAGCTGTGTGTGACTGTCTGCCCGGACACAGAAAAACCTCTCAGGGAAAATGTGCAAGTGAGTAAACCGCTAGCGAACGGGGCATAAGTCGGCTCGTCTCTTGGTCATTAAAGTTGGCTGTATGATTGTACCGACCTTCTTTGTTCATAGTTAACACGTGCAGTTTGTCCTAGCAGAAACAACGTCATCTTTTGCATATTTGTGTCTCCCTGGCAGCAGTGTTGTGGGTTTGATCCCACCTCCAGACGGGGCCTTCCTGTTTGGAGTTTGCATGTTCTCCCCATGTTTGCATAGGTTTCCTCTGGGTGCTCCAGGTCTCACTTTCCTCTTCCAACGTATTATAGTCCCCCCCTTCCTGAAAGAGATTTTGAAACCTCAGTCAGACTTTGCTGGTTAAATAAAGGTAAAAAAACACAAATATAAGTGTAAATAATAGAACTATTTTGAGAGCAAAGAATATATGGATTTTTATTACATAGTTATTTTATTTTATTTTTGATTGCCTTAGCTTGTGTCAGAGGGGCAATAATGCGCAAAATAGCAGCCATGTTAGTTTAAAACCTTCTTTGTTTTCAACCCAAACTATGTACTGTACTTCTGTTACTTTGGTTTGCGGCCTGCTTTGTGTTAAAGGAATTTTAAAATATCAATTTCTCTGGCGAATAGTAGTTGATGGCTATGAGGTTTGTCTGCAAATGAAATCGAAAATCTAGGAATGTTTGATGCTGTGCTGTGGAACATCCAATCTGATGTCATTTCTAATGGGAAAAGCAGGAGGAGGTGCCCCAGAAAAGCTATAGAAGAAACTGTAGGCACCCCAAAAACAGATAATGAATAAGAAAAGGGTTACTTTCTACACAAGCAACAGTCAGGAGAACAATGATGCTCACAAAGAAGTTAGACAAGAGCTGAGGATAGCTAAAAAGTTGAGCACCAAGACAGAAGTGGTAGACTGGCCTTAGCCATCCGTAAACTCAATTATTATTTGTCAATCATTATTTCATATGAAATTAAATGCATACGATGGTATGGTAAGACGGGGCGGCAGTGGCTCAGTTGGTAGTGCATTGGCCTTTGGGCCTGAAAGTTGTGGGTCTTACCCAGTGGGGGAGGGTCCCAGCTCAAAAGTGGCCAAAATGACGTGCGCTGACATGCTGCAATACCACCCCGGGCCGATGGGGACCCAGAAGTAGAATTAGCCAATGCTAACATAGCATTGGCAGACCTCTCAAAAACGTCTTTACAGGATGGACCAAAAGTTGGCTCTTGGCCCAAAGCTCCGTTCCACATGTGTGTCAATGCTGAGGGGAGTGTTTTGGTCCACTCTAGTTTACTTGCTGTGAATTTTTGAAGTCTCTCGTTCAAATGAATGGAGCTGCGCCGACTGACGCATGCACAGATGCGTTTTTTCACAATTTTCTTGTGGCCGGGACCACTCGCGGCCATTTTGGATTGCTCCAGTAGAGCACATTTTTTGGCCCATTAGTTAGAACGGCGGAGATAGGCGTGACTCTGTCCGTTAATATATACAGTCTATGGTTCAAGCCCAAGAAAAGACCTACTTCACAACTCCCACTGATGTCTGCTGTTGTTGTGTCCTTGGGCAAGACACTTAACCCCACTTTGCCTGAAGCCCCCGATGAAAGATTGAGGCTCCTGTGGACTCACCACCTGCAGTTGGATCAGTGAGGGGCTGGTGCTCTGTGAACTGGGTGCAGCTCTGACTGCCACCCCCTGACCCAGAAATGGATTAAAGGGAAGAAGATGGATGGATGGTATGTTAAGACCAAGCTACAGTAGTGGCGACCTGAGAGCAGCATGGAAAGGCAGTATATCCATGTCCTCTGTTCTTCAGATTGAAGAGACAGTCAGAGCAAGAATAAGATGTGCTTTATATATTAAGATTACTTACTTACCATATTATAAAACCAATTATCACTTAATCTTTTGTCCCAACCGCTATTAGACCACTGCACTCTTTATTTTATTTTAGTTAAGAGATGTTATTGATTTCTCTTCAGGTGCTGTGTGCTCCTCATTCCTACTGTCTTTAGCTTGTGATGCAACACTGACATTTCCCCACTGTGGGACAAATAAAGGATCTCTAATCTTAATCTATACTCTCTACTGGTGATATGGACTTTAGTGTTTGAGCTTGTATTGTTGTATTACTTTCATATGTTTGTATGGGCTCCACCTTTCCCTGTGTTTTCATGTGTTTTATGCCCTGTGCTGCTCAAATGAATTGCCCTTGGTGCGATAAATCAAGTCTGTATCTGAATCTGAAACTTTTGTTATTGTTGTTGTCCAGCTGTGTGCTCCTCCCGGGACTGTGACGAGAATGCGCAGTGCTCATCTCAGGGATCAAAAGTCACCTGCGTCTGTAAACCAGACTACGAGGGCAATGGCCGAGTGTGTGTCCCCAAAAACCCCTGCAACCAGAACAACGGAGACTGCCCAGTGAACTCCACCGTGTGTGCGTTCAGCGGAGCAAACAAGGTCAGTCCTGTGAATGACCCCAGGCTGAAACCATTCACCGAGTTTAGGTTTTAATCAACTTTGTTATTTATATATATACTGTATATTCAGGGATGGGTTACTGTGTGTGTGTGTGTGGCTGTGAGCATGCGCTGCTTATGCCACAGTGAATTAGAATTAATCAGAAGTCACCATTTCTTAGTGCATTTTATAAAAAATGTCCATGCTGAAGGGGGCTGTGTTGGCTCTCACTTGGTCTTTTGTGTTATTTCTGACTTAAACTTCTTAATTGTATGTTAATAACCATGCGCCTTTCGTCTCAAACTAAAGTTACACCCAAAAAAAATGCATATACAGTAAAACATGAACAGAACTGATAACAGTGCAGTTACAATGGGATTTTTTACACATTGCGCCAAAACAAAAGTGATGGAGGACATATTCATAGAAATGACTTGTTGCACATTGGGGTTGTTGGATATCAACATATTTAGTAAACACATTTTCTGTCATTATCCTAAAACCTCATGTTTTCACACCGATCATGGCCTTTCCATTCACATTGACCCCGCGCTGCCAGGCCATTCTGACTCGGCTTTTTTCTGAGCCATGTTCAGTATAAACATAAAGACCTAATGTAGCTGTGATTTTAATGTTTGCAAAATGTTTATTACCCCACAGGTCAAACGTAATGTGGGTAAATACATGAGCTGTTTGACCTGCCGTTCTGAGGTAGGATTGCAAAGGGGCTGAACATTGCTGGTTTATTCCCAGAAAGTATCAGGTAGATTTTCACGGGAAGTTAAGAGGGAGTATTGGGAATATTCCATAGCTGTGAATGAATTGTAATGTAATTAAAATGTATCATATCTAGACATAAATACAAACAGAAGTCATAACATCATCATAGCATCAAACTTTTGTACTTTGGGCGCAAAATTGTGGTCTGGTCTTATAGAAATCTTCTGTACATGTGATTGAGGCATGCACTGGACCAGTAGGGGGCGAAGTCTCAGTAACCAGGCAGGAAGCATGGCTATGGTGATTGAGGAACAGTCCCAACAGAATTCTTATCTTTAAAATGAGCACGTTGAATAATCCGGTGCCTCTTTGGACAAAAGACTCATTTTGCTCTCTGATTGGATAATTGGAAAGTTTTTTTATTTTTAATTGAGTGTAACTTCTGTTTAAGTAAGTAATCTTTATTTATATACCCCCTTTCACAGACCAGAGTCACAAAGCGGTTTACAATTGTTATTTTATGGGCATTAGTCTCTCACTCCACACAGAGATTGGAGCGGGGCAAGTACAGGAGGCGCATGCCAGACCTATTGTACATATTTTTAGTGGTAGGGGGATCCGGAGTACCTGGAGGAAACCTACACAGACACAGGGCGAACATTCAAACTCCACTCAGAGTTTAAACTGTAATTTCATCAATACGGCTAAAATCTCTGCTGCTTTTTGCATTTTTCCACATTCCTAAAGCTCTCCTTATTAAACTACTACTTGATTGATTTCAAATAATCACAAATAATTATTATTCACATGTATTATCCTCAAAATTAATGTATAGTTTAGAGACATCTTCTGCTCTCTCTGCAGTCCACGTGCCAGTGCATGGCAGGGATGAGACCAGTAGGGGGCAGCGCTCAGTTCGGCTGTGAGCTGGTGTCAGCCTGTTTGAAAGACTCCTGCCATCCCTCTGCTTCCTGTCGCACCGGATTGGACGGACATGACAGGTCGAGTATAATTGATACGTTTTTTACAACACTGAAAGTTTTGTAAATATGGGATTTTTATACATTTTTTTTACATGTATTGAATTACTTTTTGTGACTTGTGGCCTGTGCAGATGTGAGTGCAGTTCAGAGCAGATCGGTGACGGTTGGAGATGTTACGGAAACCTGATGGAGCAGCTTCTAGAACTCGACAGAACCGGAGACCACCGCGGCAATCTGACCGAAACTATTGCTCTTTTTGGTCGGTTATACCACGATCATTGTACAAAATTCACTGAATATCTCTATACATCAGATGAACACACTCATCAAAAATGTTAATATTCCAATGGATTTGGAAAGTATGCAAACAGCCATGTATAGAATGCACTTTTGGCAACACCAAAAAAGAGTTGTGTCAAAGTTTTTGACATTTTCAATGAGGAAGAATCACCTTTAGGGATGTAAAAAACGTACGAATTTTAATGACTGAACACCGAGCCTCTTTAACTGGTTGAAACCGGTTAACCGCGTAGTTTAAAATAGTCCACGTTCTTTGAAATAACAACCATTTCGAGCCATGCACTTTCCATAAGTGCAGCTATACGTTCTACTAGATCAGAGCCGAGACAGCGGAGCGATACCTGCAACAGCTTCGGCACCTTTGCGCACAGAGAACTGCTTTTATTTATCTTTCCATCTTCTGTGCTGCGGGTTAAAGCTTTTTAGCAGCAAACGACAGCTCGTCCACATGGTCAGAGCAGCGAGTGACGAGCCGCGTCTCGCAGGTCTCCGCTAAAGTTTAAACACAAGTGCTGTCTGTGGAGCCGCGCAGCACAAACATGGTCCATGTGGTTTGACTGGAGCCGCGTATTTGCGAGGATCCTTTTGGCTGCGTGACACAGCGGAGCGCGACAGACCGGTATGTGTGTGTGTCTGTATATGTACGTACGTATATGTAAGCTCCAATGGAGTTCTAACCCGCTCAAGTGTGCAACTTTGGCGGACTAGTAACGGAGGAGAGAGACGGACAAGAGTATGGATGGTGTGTGTGTGTGTGTGTGTGTGTGTGTGTGTGTGTGTGTGTGTGTGTGTGTGTGTGTGTGTGTGTGTGTGTGTGTGTGTGTGTGTGTGTGTGTGTGTGTGTGTGTGTGTGTGTGTGTGTGTGTGTGTGTGTGTGTGTGTGTGTGTGTGTGTGTGTCGTGCGGCATGAAAGTCGGCCCGGAGTTTACTAATAGCAGTTGACCCGCTCCTTCACACCGTGTGAATAGGGCTTAAAATAGCGTTATTAGTAGACCCCCTCCTCCCCCTTTTCTTTTTTTTGACCGGCTAACGCTGTGACGGTCAACCACCGGTTAAAGGGTCACCGATTTACATCCCTAATCACCTTAGCTGTGAATTTATAGAGATGCAGTACAGTATTTTTCTGATTATAAGTCGCTCCGGAGTCGCGCCAGCTGAAAATGCATACAAAAATAAGGAAAAAGTTGCACAAGAGTAAATGTATGAATTTCAGTCGCTCCAGAGTATAAATTGCACCCTCGGCCAAACTATGACAAGAACTGAGACTTATAATCTGAAAAATACGTAGGTAAGTGATTGTTAACTGATCTTTTACTTGTTTTGTTTATTTTGCTGTCTTTGTGTGCTAATGTACTGCAGTTATTTGAATTGTTGTTTTTGTGATAATTTCCCTTAATTTAGAGAAAGGCTGCTCGCTGCTGTTGAACCATGACGGCCCCTTTACAGCCTTCATTCCACTGCTCAGGACTCCGCTCACGGTGGGTCACACCATACGGGAGCACCGCATTTTACACAAATCCCAACATAATTACATTCAACATCAATGAAGAACGATAGGAAAGTTTTTCTCCAAATCCCTCTTGCATCAACGCTTTTTGCTCAGTAACTGTTTCTGTCTCTCACCATTTTTATCTTTAAAAAATCCTTGGTTTTTGCAGAAAATTAATGCTCTTATAAGGAAATTCCACTTTCAGCAAACCGTATGGGTGATGTCCGCAGTCGGTCATTCCACTCCTACCATAAGACTCTTTCTGTTGGTCCATGTAGGTAAGGCAAGTTTATTTATATAGCACAATTCACACACAAGGCAACTCATAGTGCGGAACAAAACAAGATATTAACAGTCACAAGGCATTCAAATCATAAATAATCACAATACATTAAAAAGAAAGATGAAATTATAGAATACCTCAGCTGTATGCACAGCTAAACAGAACTGTTTTACATTTTCAGAGAAGAAGCCTGTCTCACATATTCAGGAAGATTGTTCCAGTTTTTAGCAGCATGAATCTGAAATGTAGACTCTCCATGCTTAGTTCTGACTCTGGGACCAGCAGGAGGCCAGTCCCTGTGCTCCTCAGAGTCCGAGTTGGTTCATATGGCACTAACCTGTCACTAACGTACTTTGGTGCGTATGTTTGCTACCTCCTTGACATTCTTAACACTATCCACCCAGTTAAGTATTACCTAGTCTAAAACAAAAAACACAAAACATTTTTTTTTGAGGGAAATTTGTATAGGATGATAATACATATTTTTACCTAAATTACAAGGCGTAGGGCATACTGGAAACAGACTTGGGAAATGCTCTCATTATTATATATGCTTCTGCTTCAGGTCATCTCATAGATTATTTAATAAAGGACATATTTCACTTTATTCAGCTAATCTGTCTCATCCAGTGATTCCTTGTTAACTCGTTGCATGAGCCTTTGTGTGATTTTGTGTTTGTTGCAGGGTGTGAATGAAGAGGAAGTGTGTAAGAACCACCTGATCTTAGGGGAACATCTTTACAAAGACCTTGAGGGGAAGGACTTCAGTCTGTACGGAGGAGGACGGCTGCGCAGCAAGGGCAACAAGGTCAACACTCAAGACACATGGAAATAATGCATGAATGATTGATGTTCCATTTACAGTCATCTTTCTTCATGGAACCGTAAATTCTAGAATAGCAGAGAGAGCAGACACATACATTTCACCAAGAGAAGTTGGATGGACTCATTACATGTGGACAACAGTTGGATCTGTTTGATTGGAGAACATTCTGACTAGGGGTGTGACGATATATCGATTTTTCGATATATTGCGATACTTTCTCCCGCGATTCGATTATCGATATGTATTTGCCAAGTATCGATATCGATTTTGAAAAAAAAAAAACGTAATATATGGCTACATTACGCATCTCCATTCCATTTATCATGAAATAAAGTGTATTTTTTCTTTTATTTATGTCATAAATTGGCATATTGTATATTTCTGACCAATATATCGATAATCGTCATATCGTGATAAAATTGTTATCGTGTTATCGTGATATCGTTATCGTGATATTGTTATCGTGACAATATTGTTATCGTGAGCTTTGTATTGTGTATCGTATCGTATCATGAGGTACCCTTAGGTTCCCACCCCTAATTCTGACCTGCCCCAATGTGGGCAAGTCAGAGGGAAGATATAGGTGGGGTATGGGGGTAGACAGAGAAGAGTGAGGCAGACATGTGGGGGATGGAAGAGCTGGTAACTGTATATATCCCCGGCCTTGAAGTCTGGAATTTTAACTTATCAAAGGCACAAATTTTAAACATTAATTGTCATTTCTGATTCCCATCTGTTCCATAGAGCCGTCCACAGTAATGAGTGGGATCATTCTCAAGAAAGTTGGTTCTGCTTTGTTCCAATTGTTTATGTTAATTGATTGATGGATATAAACTTTGCAAGGTCTTTAAGTTTATGTTTGACCTTTAACTCATTCTGTTGGGATCGCATCACGTCCTCGATCACCCTGGTCAGCTCGTTATACAGGGTATGTGCACACATTTGGGTTACGGTTTAATGTAAATTGTTAATAAAATAATGAATCTTTTAATCACTGAATCTCAAGTATATTCAATAATCAATATTGGTAAACTAAAATCAAACCTCTTAGTGTGAAATCATATTTCTTGTTATACTTCTGTAAAATGGGACAATATTCAGGTGCATTATTACTAATTATGATCTAAACTTCCTGAATGAATGTAGAATACACCACAGCCATAAAGAGAGGGAACAAAATGAGCTCTGGGGAAAGCTCATCCTAATACTCTATGTCCAATCATGCAAAAGTACAGACTCTGGCTTGAATTATTATCAACACTCATGGAAATGGAAAGGGCAAAATACCATATTATGAAACAATACAAAACAGATCATGCTTCATTCGAAAATGAGCTTGAATGATGTTTATTTTCATTTTTTATTTAACTACACATGTAGCTACAGTCAAGTCAGCAAGAAAAACATGTGTTGTCTCAATTTGTTTGTTTTTCTTGTCAGTTAGCTACAAAGTACGCTGCATCATGTCTTAATTCAGGTTTATTTAATTTTCACAGAGATAGTCTTTGGTATAATCTGCAGTGGCCTGTTGTTGATTGTGGAGAAACAAGGAAACAGCTTCTCAGAGAAAGACTTTGTAACGACATGTAATTGTTCCTCTGTGTCCGCATCAGAAAACGACAATTGTCCTTTGTCAAAGTCCAGTTTCACTCGGATTCTCTGTAGATTCTTCTCCAAACTAAGTGTCTTGTCCTGTTTCGGTCGACAGACGGCATGATATTGTCCATCGTGAAAACGTATTTCCCAAACTCCTGTGTTCATCGGTGCCTTCCTCTGTACCGACTCGCTGACCACGCCCACAGACCAATAATCATCACCTGAAACCTCCACGTCCCAACTGTGAGTCCCTGAGCTGAACCCTTCTGATCCCAGGACTCTGTGCCACCCAAACCGCTCTGGATTCTCTGGAAACTTTTGTCTTTCTCCATATTTTACATTCGTCAAGTCCCCAGTCAGACTGAGTTCTGGATGACCAGTGTTTGGATCAAGAACAACAGGGTAGAACTGGAACAGGTCTTTCATGTTCTTCCAGATGTTGAATCCCAGGTTGCGTACATGTTTGGCCTGGTCTATCAGAGCTCCCGGTCCCAGCTCTGGTCCTACCACTGGGGGGCAGCATTTCACTCTCTCCAGTGCAGCCTTATACTGCAGCAGGAAGGAAACATCTGCTGAGGCCATGTGCTTCTTTGTGGCTGTGATTGTCTCAGACAGAGCCTCCATATCTCGGTTCACAGCTGCCATCTTGTCCTCCAGGCTCCTCCTCTTCTGCTGCTCTTCCTCCCTCAGAGCGCTGATCCGGCTCTGCTCTTCTTCCTCTAGAAACTGGTGCAGCCTCTTAAACTGATCCTGAATCTGCCTCTCTGTTAGCCGAGCCTGGGCTTCAACGTGAGTCGCAGCAGCAGAAAACTCAATTTTGCTTTTATTCACGTCCTAGGGAGGCAAAATAAAAGTATTTAAACACTGACCTCAAATATTTCCTCACGTCTGTCAGCCACGGCAATTGTGCAAAATTGACTTGACAAACTATTCTACTGTGAATGCACTTCTGATTATAATTTCCTCCTCACTTTTGGAATAGGCTAGCCCAAAACCCTGCTCGTTGGTCTGTGGCTACTTTTGTTATTTTACCTTTTTGTGCAATGAGATCTGTTTATTGCAGAACAGTAAGTGAGTTATTAATAAGTAAGTAAGTAATCTTTATTTATATACCGCCTTTCAGAGACCAGAGTCACAAAGTGGTTTACAATTGTTATTTTTGGGCAATTGTTAGATCCGTACATCATGACATTAGCCCTGGACATTACATCCGTCCAGGGTTGGGTAAGTTACTCTGAAAAAGTCATTAGTTACATATTACTAATTACTTTCAAAAAATGTGACGAGATTCACTACGTGGTTACAATCACCAACTTTACTGGGGGATTTCTGTATTCTTATTATTATCTACATGCACCATATTTGTATTTTTATCACCTGTTAAAGATTATGGTGAACAACAAATTCGTTATTTAAAATGTTGCAAATAACATAAGATCAACAGTGGAGACGTCTTTTACACCTATCCCTGTGACCACAACATGTAACAACTGCCAACAGACAGAAACTAAAAATAGTAGAAACCCAAACTACTGATAGACATTACAAAAACACACAATGAACCATGCGTCCCAATAGAATAAGAAACCTGGCGATCACACCTGCAGCTGTTCGGCCAGACGCTGGAGAACGTCCTCTAGCTGATTCCTGAAGCCGGGTGTCACCTCGTCGATGGGTTTGAAGATGTGGTTTTTGTGAGCATCCGAGTCTCTGCAGACCAAACAAACTGGTTCTTGGTCATTAAAACAATACAACTTCAGTCTCTCGGAGTGCTCTCTGCATGATCCAATTCTGCTCTCTTTAAAATCCACACACAAATTTGACAAGGCCCGGTTCAATGGTGGATCTCCGCTGCATGAACTTCTCTTGCAGATTGGACAATTCCTTAAGGGCGTCTCTTCCCACCAGGTCTTCAAACACTCTCTGCAGAAGCTGTGGGTGCAGGACAGGAGCACTGGATCTCTGAAGACATTATAACAGATCGGACAAGACAAGTCCTGCTCTGACACTGCCATTGCTGTCATTCTCCCTAAACTTACAACGTTTTTGTGATTTCAAACCCAAGTCTTCAGTGACAGTACAGTTCTAGATTAGCCACCGGCAAAAAGAGAGTGGAAGCATCGTTCTTTGTGCATTGTGTGCAAAAGCCACAGCAATATTTGTTTCCTGTCTGGCGTGCATATGACGCATGCACACACACACAAGCACCTACAAACACCACAACACACAACTCTGGTTTGTGTCCCTTCATAGCCAGTAAACCAATTGATTATATATTTTTGCTTTTGTAGATAACACAGAAAATATCATAACTTTTCTTAATTCAATCAAGGTTAGAATTGTCTGTTCAAATTGAGCAGAGATTTGTCTTACAACACGGCACATTTAAAAATCATTAATTAAAACACACCTAAAATACATTAAGATTATCTTTTTTTCATGACCTATTATTAATTCTCTTAATTTCAATTTGGCAATGTGTAAATAGCTGGAGGGCCGAACGCTGTTGTATGCTTGTGTGTGATCATTGGCCATTTGTCACATTTAACACAAAGGATTTTTCCTCTGCATTGTCCGTGTCATGTCTTTTTACAATCCAGTTAAACATTGATTGATTGATGTTTGTATTGTAATTACAGAAGGTGATCCTGATGGACGACCCTACTGTTGTTTACTCGGTGCTCAGTGAAAACCATCCAGCCGCGAACGGAGTCATCCACATCATCGACGGGGTCATGATCAGCTCAATGAACAGACCCGTTCGCAATGAAAAGGTGTGACCAAAACTTAATTCTGTGTTTGCCCTCGTTGAACTACTCCCTGTTTTATTTCTCAAAGCACCAGTAAACAAATAAAACACGTAAGTAATGATGTACTGGCTTTAGAGCGCTTTTTTAGACACTCAAAGGTGCTTAACTACAACGATGCCGCACTGTTCAACTGACGGAAGCTTGTAGTTTGTTTACGGATCCATCACGACTGATTTATCTTTTTCATGTCTTCTATTTGTTGCATTATTCTGAGTTGTCCAGGAAGGAAGACCAAGAGTTCCATTCAAACATTAGGCGCTGGTGCTATGTAGCATCTCTGATTGCCACTCCGACCAAGAAATGGATTAAGGGGAAGAAAATGGATGGATGGATGGCATTCAAACATTTATTTTTGATAAGATGCTGTCCTGCCCTGTACCCGTGTCTACCCCAGCGCTCTCTGAGGGCGCTCCTCTCAGCTGATTTATGTGATTTATATTATAAACAGTGCCTTGGGGTTCCTCATAAGGTACAATTTTCCAGACTCTCATTTTGGGCCCCCCAGGCTGTCTTTAGTTTTCTACAACAGGTTTATCTTAATTGAAAACACAGTTAACATTGAATGATAAAAATGTGATTAACAACAAACAATTGCATCAATACAAAAGCTCCATCTCTGTTGAATTGATACGATTGGCGCATTCGACGCATGAGACATTTCATTTTATATTTATATTTTTAAAACATGATATTGTCTTTGTAAATCTAGATATGAGCTTTATAAGAATTGACCAATTGTTAATGCTGTTTTAACCTACAGCCATGGTTCAGCATTTTTAATCTTGGTTGCCTTTTCCAAGGAGAAGTGATCTTTGAAACAGAGACAGATGCCTTTATTCGCTGGGAAGTATCGCACTTTGCCATTACAACCATCTTAGCTTCACACCTGTCCCTGTTATGGCACAAAGCTAGGGATTGGCTCCAGCTTATGCTCAAATCCGCTTCATCCGTCTTCTGTCAGCCTGCTACTCTGTTTTGATGGCAGACAAGTTGCCTCCCAATGTAAAACTACCAAAACAACAACAAATCTTACTATTATACATCCGTGATTGTGTTGTTTTGGTTCTTTTGACATCATAACGTGTGCATTTTCTTTACGTTGCTTTTCAGTTTTCCGCTCTGACGATCGGTGAGATTCTGAGGAAAGACGACCAGTTTAACCGCTTCCTGTCTCTGGTGGATGTGGGTATATTTTTGCCATTGAAGGAAATCAAAAAGAAGTATTTCTCTTATATACTCCATAGCAGTGACAAGTAATGTTACAAATTGTCCACATATTTCTCTTATGAATTTTGCAGAACTGCGGTGCTCCCCTTCCACTCAGAGGATTGGGGCCTTTAACCGTGTTTGTTCCGACCAATCAGGCAATAGACGCGGCCCGAGATGGCAGCATTCTCTACATGCTCAACAATGTAATGGCAATTCAATATTACTATTTCTAGAGTTTGTTTGAATGTTTTAAAGTTTTAAATCAGTTCAAACATAAGAAATGCAACAATAAAAAACACATTGAGCCATTGGTCCATAAGGGGCAGAGACCAATGTCCATAAAAGTTGTGAAATGTCGAGTGTCCTGGATCACACGTCTTTTTAGATACAGAGAGATAGATTTAAAGATAGATAGATCCTTGATTGATCCTTGTAAGAGAGATGTATTTACCTGTTCACATTCAGAGTTAACTGCAGTAAATGTAGCTGTTGTCGGTGGCAGAGAAAGTTTCAAAAGTAGGCAAAAGAGAAAATCTGGAGCATTTATTAGCAAAGCAAAGTCATAGTCATCAAAATATAGAGATTCATACAAGTGCAAAAAAGCCTTTATCTTCTCCCATGATTTGGACCGATGAAGATATTGGATCATTTCCAAACGTCTCATGGCACACTGGTTGAAAAACACTGGTGTAGTCCACAACATTTCAGTGTTTTGGCTATTCCACCATCATTGTTATCACTATACAACATTGCATTTACAGTCTCTGATCTAGCCTAGGCTTTTAGCTTCATCCCATTTAGTTCTGTGAATTTAACTCACTATTTACTCTTTAAGGCCAAACACAAGTTGCAGGAGCTGCTCAAGTATCACATGATTTCACAAGCCTCGGTGAGTCTATCTCTGTCTTTCCTGTCTGCCGCACTTCCTTTTCAGTTAATCACACAACCCTCATTGTGTTTGATATGCTTTTATTTGAGAGGCGCTGAGCAACAGTAGTGATTTCTTGCATTATTTTAGATCAATATGTATAATGCTTTTAGCGGAGCCAAGACTATTTAGAGGAAGGATTGCTGATGACCAGTTGGTTTTGAGTATGATGAGAGTGGATAAACTGGAGAATATCGATTTAATGAACAGCTATTGAAATTTGTTTGTGTCTCATCATATGTAATGTACGCGGTGTGGAAAACGAGAAAACAATGGACACCTATGAGGGATTCAATAAGCATAAAAGGTGTATGTCAAATATATAAGGTTCATATTATCATTAGTAACCTATGAAGCATCGGCTGTGTTTCTCTAGCTTAATTCACAAATAGCGAACTAAAACAACTGCTAACACAAGTTCAGCGGTATAATGTACAAATAATGTATCTTTTAAAGTAAGTTAGCAACATTTATACATGTAATACTCAATTGTGGATCAGATAACGCACATACAACTTGCATAGACCAACAACTGTGAAGACCCAGAACTCCACGACGGCTTGTCCCTAGTTCTGCCTTAACACTGAGTTTTTTTCTCAGTTGACGTCAGATGACTTGGCTGTTGTCCCACGGATCCATACTATGGCCAATCAGGTCGTCCGTGTCTCTGTGACTAACAACGTAAGTCTAGCTTATGCAAACTAATGGAATCAAAAGATAAACTGGCTTTGACTCTAAACCCACCATTTGTACCATAATACACACACACACACACACACACACACACACAAATAAAAAGACACATTAATGAGGGGTAATTCATAAATTACACAACCATAGCTCTGTTGCTGTCGCCTGATCTCAGAAGCAGGGTTTGGCCCGGTAAGTAATGGGATGGGAGACAATTGGGAGTACCAAGTGGTGATAAAAGGCACCATCCCTCTCAGACCAGTGATAAAATTTGACGAAAGATCTGAATAGATAATTGGCTCGAAGCATACTGCACAATTTACAACATGCTCCATGCTGAACTGTAGGTAAATAGAACAACATAGGAATTAGTGGGATTATGTTGCAGATTTAGTATATTATAAATGTAAATGAATGACTTGGGAGGTGATTGCTAACTCAAATTAACTTCTTATCTCACAGGGCCAGTTGGTGCTCGGGGATAAGGGCATCCACATTGTCAGCTCCAACATCATGGCCTCTAATGGGATCATCCATATGATTGACGGACTGTTGATTCCTCCAACGATCGTCCCCATAATGCCCCACCGTTGCGATATTGTTGAGAACAAGATCACTGTGGTGGGTCTAGCTATGATCTTGTTTGTTTTGAAATGGTACACTAAAGTCTGTAGGACGCAGGGGCACTAAATAAATTTTTATGAACCTTAGAGATAAGACATGATGCAAAATCAACTATGTTACAACATTGTTCCCTCCTCAAAGACAGACCTAGAGTGGTTTTTAGATAACTCCGCTCCTTCTGCCTCATGCCGCTTTCATGCAATCTCTACGTAGTCATCCAACTTCCTGAAATCAGAGCGTTCATGAGGAGCTGGGGATGATGGTAACACACACACACAGACACAGACACACACAGACCACAGACACACAGACACACACAGACACACGAGCAGCAACGACAACTACAATACAATATGTGCAGAGATGTACCTGGATTCTCTTTGCTCGTTCATGAGAAACACACAGAAACCATCAATGTTTTGACATGAGAAATTTGTTAAAATAAAGAAGTGCTTTTAGATACAATCCTAGATATTTTTGCAAACTTTTTTGTGGCCACAATTTTGTTATTTGGAAGTGGAATTTTAAATAGTTTGTCCTTAAATTTGTTCTTTCCATCTAATCACAATCACAGTATCACAGTGATGCAAACTCCATCCATCGACCAAACCTGAGATTTTGTGGTGAATTCTTGAGTTGAGCAGCGTTAATTCCCATTTTTCCAAGTGGGTACTGGAACCTCTGAGTTTCTGAGTTTGCATGAATTGGTCTCCTTGCAGTGAATTGAGGTTTGTTACAATCACATGGCCCTGTTTGCAATCATTTTCAAATTTGGAGAAAAAAATACTTGACCTCTCCCTGTGGTGGTAGCATAGGGAGTTACGTGTGGAAAGCAACTTTTGCACTTCATACTTATTTCACCATATATCATCTGCTTAAGATTTTATTTCTACATCTGAACACAGTATATAGTCTCATTATCATGTTTCATGGCCAAAAATAATGCATAATATTTATTATTTCAGACTTAAATAAACAAAAGGTGAATTCATATTTGTGCTTTCAGGGCCCATGTACTCGCTGCAGTTACCTGTTTGAGACCAGCTGTCCTGTGGGAAGTGTAGAGATGGTACCCTCCTGTATTTTATTGACCTTTCTGGTGCACTCAAAACAGCTTTCTATAATTGTGTCTTCTTTAAGGAGAACCACTTGACTGGATGCGAGTATATGATCTTCTCCCCCTTTCAAGCCATGCCAGGCAAAGGCTGCGCCAAATACTGCAACACAACAAAAACGGTGAGACCCTGACGTTGTTATTGCTGTTCTGTTGGCTCTGTTGGGATTGTCTGTATATAGTATATACAGTATATATAAATTATTCTGTCATTTGTAACTTCTGCTGCTTTGGGCGGCACGGTGGCTGAGTGGATAGCACTCTCACTTCTCAGCAAGAAAGTCCTGGGTTCGAATCCCGGTCGGAACAGGGTCTTTCTGAGTGGAGTTTGCATGTTCTCCCTGTGTCTGCGTAGGTTTCCTCCGGGTACTCCGGTTTCCCCAACCACTAAACACGTGTACAATAGGTCTGGCATGCGCCTCCTGTACTGGCCCCGCTCCGATCTCTGTGTGGAGTAGGAGACAAATGCCCACAATTGTAAACCGCTTTGTGACTCTGGTCTGTGAAAGGAGCTATATAAATAAAGATTACTACTTCTTACTTTGCTCCAAATGTGTGTATGTATATATAAAACATTTACACTTCAAAAATGTTGGTGCTTTTACTCTGTAGAAACGTGACCAGTACATTATCATTATTGTATTTAAATACTAGTCTATTACTATAATAGTATAGTATACAAATCACAAATTACAATGACCCCTTTTATGATCTGTGCTATATTAAATTGTGACAAAAGCATATCACTGAATCTGATGATGTCTCTTTGCAGGTGGCAGAGTGCTGTAAAGGATTCTATGGGCCAGACTGCAAGCCCTGCATTGGAGGCTTTGAAAATCCATGCTTTGGCAAGGGAACGGTGAGACTCAAGAGCCATTACCTGTCAAGTCTTTTTGTTAAACTTAAGACTCGTATCTGTACTGATTAAATTGAATGACATTAAAGTATGATTCTCCCACAGTGCTCTGATGGCATGAAGGGGGATGGATCGTGCTCCTGTCGGCTGGGCTTTGAGGGCGTGGCCTGTCACATCTGTTCAGACCACCGCAAACACGGAGAGAACTGCGATGAAGGTGATAGTAGAATTTTACAGTTTTGTTCCATGAAAACACTGCTCTAACAACCAGGTTACACATTCATTTGAAATGTATTTATTATGAACCTTACAACCTCTGGTCTCTCTACTGTACTTACGTTTACTTAAGTTTTAACTCATTCTGTAGTGAACCAAACATAAGGCAAGGCACAAGGTGTATAATCTAAAATTTCATGCAGAAAAAAGTATAATTTGACAAAAATAAAAACAATTTAACAAATATTTGTAGCCAACTAAAGTAAACAACCTAAAAGAAAACCCCCACCCAGAACGAAAAACAAGAAGAGTAACTCTAAATAATAACAAAGCGGGAAATACAACACTTAGGTAGAATCATAATGTGCGACAGTGTCTGTTTCTCTCTTCTGAGTCTTTGGGACCAGTGGACTCTCCTGGTGAATATAATGCCATCTTGTCCCTCGGGCTGGCCTGACAAAAAAAGACAATTGTGAGTGATGGTTAAAAGGAAATGAGAAAGTTGAGTAATACTGACACTTGTTTGGTGGCAGAAGAATCCACCCCAGAGTCAAGTCATCACCCAACTGTTTCACTTTGCCTTTCCTTAATTTTGCTCTTCTATTTTTATTCAATGTTTTGTAAAGCGTCTTTCAGAGTCCAAAAAAGCTTGAAGATTGATGTATTATTATTATTATTAAAACACCTTTCTGCCTTAAAGCAAAATGGTTTCCTTGCAGAATGCCGGTGTGTCCATGGCGTATGTGATAATCGTCCTGGCAGTCGGGGGCGCTGTCGTTCCGCCTCGTGTTCGGAAGGATTCTCCGGAGATTTCTGTGACAAACAAGAGATGGCGTGTAACTCAGACGGGCTGATGGAGCACTGCCACATCCACGCGGTGTGCAGCTACAGCGGCGTCGACACTGTGTAGGACTCAAACACACACGAGCTGGGTGTGAAAAAAACAAACGCACTTAACATTTCGAGAGGAGACAGGGCCTTCTCTGTGAGAGGACCACAGCTGTGAAACCTTTGCACATTAGAACTGCACAATCTTTCCAGAACATAAAACCCCTAAGCATCTAATCAACTTTTTTAACATATAAACTACATAAATATGTTTCTTATAGTGCTCGCTATAGTGAAAATTATATAAAATCTCACTTTTGAGCCTAAAACTGTCTGTGCGGGCGCCCTCTCTACATTTTTGGTGGTACTAGATTTGAATCTCGTGCCTGGCCTCTCCAGTTCTGGTGGCTTTGTGATGTCACTTTGTGCAATGTGACCTCCGTTGCTCTGCGCTACCCATAGACTGTGAATATTAACGCAGTAAAGTGGCCCGCTTCTTTTAGCTGCATGGTAAAGCGGCCCGCATCAGGGAAAAAGACGGTACGCGTTTTGTTGACCTTTATGGTAATAACAGAACAGCCTTTCGGAGTCTCATCAAACAGAAAGCGTGTCCACTCTAAGTCCCCCTTCTTGTCCCCCGGTCTGCCGAGCAAAATTAGAGATAATTTTCATGTGGATGGAGTAAGGCTGGGCACTGGGGTTTAGATTATTTTTAAGACGCAACTTTTCTCTTTGGCCGCCTTTAACGCCAGGAAGCAAGAGAAGTTTTTGTTTTTATTTATGAACATATTTGTTGTATTTTTAGTGTTGCTTACAGCACTTTGTTTAACCCAGACTGTTTTTAAATCTGGTTTACAGATAAATGTTAATTGATTATAATGATACCATAATCAGGATATGTCAAACAATTACAAAACAAAAAGCAGAAAGAGATGATTCATGAAATTGAGCCAATCTCTTCTGATTTAAAACACAATAACCACAGCTGAGGTTTTTTACAGTTGTACCTGTCGAGATGGATATGAAGGAGACGGTCACTCGTGTTCTCCCATCAACCCCTGCGTCAAGAGCAGCCGCGGCGACTGTGACGTAAACGTGAGCAGGTTTCAGTTCTGTGTGTTTGGAAACGTTGAAAGTGACAGGTGTGTGTCCGCAGCAGAGCCCCAGGATTAAGTAGTATCACAATTTGAAAAGTTTAATTTGACTAAAAACGACAACTGCCTTTGACAAATATTTAAAAGGCACAAGTCACAAGTTGCCCTTCACCAAGTAGTGTTTTGCAAAAGCCGTATCTATTTTAGTTTTACCCCCTTCTTGAGCAAATCCTTTCAAATTTACTGATCATGTTGAAGATTGCACCCAGAGGAATTTAATTTTTTGACCAATTTTGCAAAAGAACTCCTTATTAGTTCATACAAAACGTTCTTCATCTTTATTATAAAGAATACATATTATGTATTGGTTTTAAAAATGAAATGATTACTTTATCATTCTATGTTTTAGAAAATAAATTATTATTTTAAGTAGAAAATACACGGGTAAACAATTATGAAGGGTAAAAAATGCCTGTAACTCCCATGGGAGGGAGGTGTTGTTGTTGTGAAGGACTCAAACAGGAGCTTTTAGACAGAAGAGACAGAGTTACATAATCTGACCAGGAGTTCATGATATTTATTCAATTCAATGTAATCTATATAGTTATCTCTGAGGACTATCAATTTGGGATCTAAAAACAACTCCAGGTCTGTTTTTTATGAGGAACAGGCTTGAACAATCAAAAAAAAATTTAAAATCAATTCAGCATAATATGTCTCCTTTTATGTTTCATTTGATTGATCTGATTTGGATCCCACCTCTTTGCTTTTGGTGCCTATGCAAATCTCACCAGGTCCAATGTAACACTGGCGCTCTCTTTTCTAGGCTGAGTGTGTCTACAATAGCCCGGGTAATTCCTCTTGCGTCTGTGCTAAAGGATGGAGCGGCGATGGAAAAGTCTGTGTGGAGATCAACCTCTGTCAAAGTGAATCCAGAGGAGGCTGCAGCCCCTACGCCACCTGCACCCACGTCGGCCCCGCTCAGGTGCACTCACTGACGCTGTAGTGGGAAAATAACGGTCAAAGCCATAGACCAGGGGCCTCCAACCTTTTCCCCCAGAGAGCTACTTTCTCCAGACAAAAATGGCCGGAGAGCTACTTCTTTACGCCGTCCTGGGAAAACGTTGAGTTGATAAATTTGTGAGCGCCAGTGGTTTATGATCAAATATTTGTTACTAGGTCACGCAGTGAGTTTGAATTTACAACCGATGTTAGAAAGAGAATAATTGAATAGAAATACTCAGTACATTATCAAATTTGTTTCTTTCTAAAAATCTGTTGGGGAGCTACTGATGGCTCCTGAGCTATAGGTTGGAGACCCCCTGCCATAGACTGTATATTGTTGGACTTTGCGACCCGCCTTTCCTCAATGTCTATTTTGTCTCTATCTTGTTTTGTTCAGCACTTTGAGTTCCCTTTGTTACTTTGAATGGTGCTCTATACATAAACCTGCCTTGCCTTTATATTTTGAAAATCCAGATAAAATCCAGATTTGAGCCACATATATATATATATATATATATAATATATATATATATATATATATATATATATAATAAATAAATAAGGGTTCGCGAGGAAAACTCCAGCTTGCCTTACCAACACCGCTCAACACATCTACAGTCCAAAGCTAACGTCATTTATTACCAGTTTATTTAGCTATACTCCTGTAGTCATGTCTTTGTAAAGGTGTTTGTGTGTTTCAGGCTGAGTGTGTGTGCAAAAGAGGCTACTCTGGAAATGGAAAAGTGTGCAATCTCCTTAACCCCTGCAGGGAGAACAACGGAGGATGTCATGAGCTGGTAACTAACGTTTAGTATTAGAACTAAATGCTGTTTTTCACATGACCGATCACATGGGAGATTTGTTGCATCTGAGACACATCATACAAAATGTATCTTTTTCAGCTTTTAACCGTGTTACAACATTGTTCCTTCATCAAAAACAGAAACACAGTTGTTTTTAGATTCAGCCCCTAAATATATTATAGATATTTCCCCTAATTTAGTTTTCGACTTTTTCTCGGCTGAAAAGACAGTCTTTAAAATCATTCATAATCACGTCAGAAAAAATAAAATAATCAAAACCATTAAACTCTTCCCTCTGATGAGCCGATATTGATGGGTTTTTGTAATTTTGTTTCTGGATCATAAAGGAGCCGTACTATTTCTGCTTCACTTGCGAGATTTGTAGCGTGAAGTGTTGCCATAGTTACGCACACAGGCTCGAGGGAAGATGAGAGAGAGGCGCAACCACAGAGCCACATCAGGGGCTTATATGGTTTATGTTGTGTGGAAATTGTGGCGGCCATCTTGCAAGCCGAATAGTGTCGTCATATATTTACATTCGAAAACACATTTTCTCCAAGTTGAAATTATCCTAACACTTGTAGTCAATTGTAAGACTTATAATGCAACAACAGAGCTCGATGTGAAGCGAACAGACTGTGTTCCTCGCAGGATTCGGGAAGTATGAAGGTCAATGTGTATGAAGCTCAAAAAGCACAGTAATGATGTTTATAGCAAAGAAAAGTTGAAAATGATGTTTATAACAAAGAAAAGTTGAAAAGTGTATTATGGGACCCTTTATGTATACATTATGACTGAGTAAAAACCATTAGACATTTTATTTAAACTTGGTATGTACCTTCGGAGGCATCTGCCTTCAAAATCTACGGCAAATTGATTTATCTGCGAGCGACACTTCACCAAAGACTGTTCCAGAATCACCGCTTGAAACTGGACTAACCCAAAAGCTGATCTGGAAACCTGTGTTATTCCTCAATAAAAGATTCTAACAAGGGGCCAATGAGCTTTTATTTTCTTTCATTGCCAGGCGACTTGTAAACAACTCGAGGGCAGGGTCCCCTCCTGTATTTGTCCGGATGGTTACCATGGCAACGGCACTACTTGCTACGGCACCGTCATAGAGGTATATTTATTTCATAGGTGCACAATGTTGAATTTTTTACATTTGAATTTAATAAAGTTTGTAAATACTTCTCTGGCTCTGGTCTGTAGGAGTTGGAGATGATGCAGGGGAGAATGTCTGATCTCTACAGAAGTTTTGTATGGGTGAGTGGAAGCAAAGGAAAAGAATGTTTGTGTGTGTGTGTGTGTGTGTGTGTGTGTCAACATTTCATAGAGCAATTTTAACATTGTATTTTATTTTTTCCTGTTTACAATGGTAAAGCCTGGTTCATACGGCAGGATAATTAGGCCGATTTTGGACCCGATTTACCCCTACAACAATCGTAAGAACGCTCTGAATATCGTTAAAAAAATCTGATGGCTTTTCCTGCCGTGTGTGGTGTGTTAAGACTGTGCTCGTCGCTCGGAAGGACTTCTGGACTGCTCCGATCTCAATATCGGGGATATCCAACATCTTGGATTGTTTTGGCCCGATTTCTCTTCGTGTGTGGTGTCCCCCGGGGACAGACGAGCGCGTTGCCATGACTGCGGCATGTAGCCAATCAGAAGACGAGCCGGCGAGGAAACACCATTAAAAAAAAAAAACAGTCAGAGGCATGGCGCACCAGAAAGTTCGGTGGACATCAGAGATGGAGGAACAACTAGTTGACCTCTGGCAACACCGTGAATGAATGTATGACGTGTTGTGTAAAGAGTCATCACCGAAATGCCAAGGAGAGGAATTGGGCAGAAATTGCTGCTGCACAGGTAGTGTTGGCATAAGCCCTGTTCTGACGGGGTTAGTACTAAATGATCAGACTGATGGGTTGTGTTTGTACGTTTACTTTGCACTCTGTCCTAATACAGTACAGACGTGTTGATGCAGCCGTTACTGCAGTCGTGCTTGTTGGTTTGCACGTATGTAAAGTTTCATGTCTAGCAGTGTGTGTGATGCATTCACAGGTAGTCTGTACAAACTGTATTGTTGAACATCACAGACAGTACGGGCCAGAGAACTGTAGAGCAGTAAAATCCACATGTATGTGTTTGTCCTCATGGCGTCTGTGGCTGCTGTGGTCAGACGAGAGTCTCTGCGTGAAGCAGAGAGGCCAGCACAAAGTCACGCTTGATCTCGAGAGATGTGAGATTTCCGGTGACCTGCGAATGCTCGGGGGTGAAATCAGTTCGTGTGTGGCTTGCGTGATTTTGTCGTGTGGCTGCGCACCACACACTTTACGACCAAAGTGGTTCGACCCGTGAGTTTTTATCTCCGCGTGTGGAGTCTCACACGGAGAAAAAAAATCGGCCGACAATTTTAAAATCGTCTCGTGTGAACCAGGCTTAATTTGTCAAAAGTCAGATTTTATCCCATGAATTGGCTCAGGAATTACAGAGCTATTATTTCTGTAATTGTGAATGTACCGTCATTATCAAATTTCCCAATGATTTGGGAAAACATTTGGACATTTTTCTTTCCCAAAAGAGTCGTATCGGCATTACCCTTGGTCTCGCCTTCCGAATGCCACCTATTGACAATATACGGTAAATGAAGTCAACAGTAAAACAGGACTTCTTTAAACAACAAGTCTATAGTAAAGATACTTTGCTAGTTAGAAACCTTTACAAGTTACATAATGACAAGACACTTATCTCACTTTGCCTGAAGCCCGAACCCGAAGCCCGAAACACCAAGGCTGCGTTGACGCAGCGGCCATCTTCCCGTGGACCCACCCCTGCAGGACCATCAGCGAGGGACTGGTGCTATGAGTATTCGGTGGCAGCTCTGATTGCCACTCGCCGATCCAGAAATGAAATAATCAAGGGGATGAAAATGACATGACAAGCTACGTATTGCCAGTTTAAGGACTTTAAGGACAATCAACTGTATTTTGTTTCCAACCTTCTGTGTACAGACACGCAGAGATATTCCTGCAGAGTTCTATGGGAACATTACCGTGCTGGCTCCCTCTGTGCAAAATCAGTTCATGTTCTGGAACAAGCAGCGCAGTGCTCTTCACTTGCTGCGGTGAGTTCTTAAATATATCAGTGACTCATTATCACTCATTACTAGCCCCTACTTTAATCAAACAATCAATACTTTATTATCTCACAGATGGAGAAATTCAGTTCGATGATTAAACATCAAGGCCGGCTTAGTATAGTATATTAGTAGAATGTGACGATGAGTGTGACAAACTTGGGCACCTTGACTATTTTGGCACCAATTGTATTTCCTTGTTTTTTTGTTTGTTGAATGGGGTTGTCACTGGGAAAATATTAGAAACGTCAGGGAGGCTCACATTGAGAAAGGGATCTACGGGCTCGAGATCAAGTACTCGGGCTGTAGAACCAGGACTGAGCCTAAGTGGTGCAGGACTGAGGCGGGTCCCAAGCGGGGAGGGGGGGGGGGGGGGGTGCAGCCCGTGAGTCTGGGCCAGGGGAGACCGTCCACAGGATCGTAGTTACCAGGTCGCTAGTTTGCCTCTGTTGTATCTTCAAACTCTTTTGCGGATGTATCCCAATATGGTTTTACTGCAAATAGCAAAATAAATTAATCTGAATCTTAATATTTGTATTTTCCTTGACTAAATGTTGCTGCACTATTGTTGAGGTGTCTGAGAGCTGCTCGCTAAGAGGTCTTTTGGACTTTTGCAGTGCTCACATCTTGCTTGGCGTGTACTCTGTGGAGGACTTGGATAAACTAGTGGGATCCAAAGTGCCCACTCTGAATCCTCAGACCCAATGGAAAGTCAGCAGGAGCAGCACTGGGGTGAGCCTCTTAACACCACAGCTCTCACAATCCCTTTTACTGAAGATATAATTTCACATTCTTAAAGATGAAATGGCAAAGTAAATAGCCTCACCATCATTTTTGATGGACAAAAATACTAGTATTACTTTAAAAATACGCTACAAGAAGATGTAACAAGTCTTTTTTTTTCAAGTTGTTCTTGTTCAGAGTACATATTCCTTTGTTACAGATGATCCAGATTGGAAATGCCACCATAACTATCCACAACCTTCCTGCCACCAATGGGTACATACACATTATTGACCAGGTATGGGCTGTGAAGGCATGACATATTACTTACATATTTCTGTCCTGTTTTATTGCATCTTCTGTCATCACCCTTCAGGCTTTGACTCCTGCTTTGAACGAAATCCCCCCAGACCCTCCTACGCTGATGGATTTTCTCAACAAAACCAGCAACTTCAGCCTCTTCAGAAACTATGCAATGGTAAGTGCTAATTTAAGACCATTTACGACTATTCCTACATTACACAACACCTTGATCCCAAATGCTGAGGAGCAAAAAACAGTCACGAAAGCTTGAGTTGTACTAATGTTGTTGGTCACTACAAGAAAAGGAACTGAAGAGTACAACCTTAAACTGTAGTATGTGTGAATGGGTAAACTTTTTAGAAATGTGTTTAGGAATGTATAAAGGTATAAAATGACAATTGTTTACATGTATTTGTTTTGGGGCCCCACTTATAACCCTAACCCAAACCCTTATACAAGGCTCTAACAAACTTCAGAAACTAGTATGTAAGTAGCCTGGCCTTAGCCATCCGTAAACTCCGGTCAATCATCATTTCCCTGCATGTACCGTCTGGTTCTAGTCCCAGTGTCTGCAATTACATTGGTTGAATCCCATCCGACCAATCAGCGAGCGCGGGAGGCGTGTTTTGTTGGTAGATGTGGGTGACGTTAAGAGTTTGCGCTGAATTGGCCGGTTGTGGAAATGGCGGAGAATGCGATTGTAAAGTAATCCGTTCTGGTTCTATCAAGAAATTGAAGCCGGAGCAAGAGGAATGTTTAGAAAATGTAATTGCTGCAAAGATTGTGGGGCGCTACTCCCCACGGGCTCCGTTAGCGGCAAAAGAGATGGCTAAAACTCCCACTAAATGCTGTCGTTGTGTCCTTGGGCAAGACACTTAACCCCACTTTGCCCAAAGCCCCCACTGAAAGATCAAGGCTATGCTCACACTCAGAGAGCAGCCGTCCTCCTGTGGACTCACCACCTGCAGAGGGTCAGTGAGGGGCTGGTGCTATGAGACTTGGGTGGCATCTCTGACTGCCACCCCCCTGACCCAGAAATGGATTAAAGGGTAGAAAATGGATGGCTGGATGGACTTTTAAACATTAGTTTCAAGTATTTTAATTTCTTTAGTAATAGACTCTTGATGTACATTTGACTGTATTTGCTTGTTTTTTGTTTTGCAGTTTTTCTGTGTTGAAACTACAAAGAAATGTTATAATTTTAACATAAATTTTCTCTAAAAGTAACTATCTTGGATAGTAAAACTTCCAACTGAACATTACTGTTAATTAAACTGAGTTTGATGGTTTTTCAACTTAGTTTTTTTCAGTCACCATTTTACGGACATTTTCAGTACATTTCACTGAAATTCTTTACAGTTTATGTATATGTTTATATATATATATATATATATATATATATATATATATATATATATGGTGCTACTTTGAACCGAGAATATAACACATATTTTCAGTTGGTTCATACTTTTTCTTTTAGGTATGTACATAATTCAGTTTTGATGCCTTCAGTGTGAATCTACAATGTCCATATTCATGAAAAAAATAAAAAATCCAAACTTTTGGTGTGTGTGTGTGTGTGTGTGTGTGTGTGTGTGTGCACTTGTTTTCAACTCCTGGTGGGTTCCATAACCTGAGATTCCACTCACGTCATGGGGACTGGTTTTACGTGGTGGGGCCCGAACACCGGGCCCCACTGGTCCAAGCTTAATAATCAATGGGTAATGCTTTTCTAACGGTCCTTATGCAGTCTCTGTAAAAATATGGAAAGGACCCCTGGAGGTTTACTTTCCTGAAAAAAGTGTGTTATGTGTCGGAACCCTGGTGGTGGGTTGCGGGATATCAAGGAGGGGCACGCTGGGGCAATTTCAGTCCAGCAGGCTGGAGCCAATCATGGAGCAGCACAACAGAGGAAATCAGGTGTCAGGCTAGAAAAGGTGCAAGTGTGTGGTTCATTAGGCTGCAAGAAATCATGGAGGAGCACACTGAAGCGCACGCTTACAAACCACTGGTAAGTGCTGACTACAAGTCATGACTTCAAATTGTTATATAGAATGATTACAAATTATTTGTTGTTTGTGCAGCTTAGTCAAGAGTCCCTAATTGATGAAGTCGACTCAGATTCTGACGATTTAACTGTCAAGAAGAAACCTGTAAAAAAGTATGGAAAAAGAAAAATCAAAAACACTTTTCTTCAAGACTCGGAAAGTGACGAACCAAAGGCAAATAAGATTGTTATCATGCAGCTGCAAAAGAAGAAAAATGGGGGGCGAGTTTTACAGCAAGAGACACTTCTGCCTCTACTGTTCAATGTCCTGCCACAAAATGTCCCGTCATTTGACTAGAAAACATGGAAATGAAAGTGACGTAGCCAGAGCATTGGCTCTACCTGTGAAATCTAAAGCACGTAAACTTCAGTTTGATTTGATCAGGAATAGTGGAAACCGTGAGCACAATTTTGAGGTTTTAAAGGCCGGCATTGGAACTTTAGTCCCAGCTAAACAGCCAAATTGCCCAGTTAAATCCAGTGAGTTTTTGCACTGTATAGACTGTGGGGCATTGTTTAAGCGAAAGTCGCTGTGGAGGCATGTGGCCAGGTGCCGGCTTTCACAGAAAGATGCCCAGGCTAAACCAGGTAGAAGTAGGGTCCAGTCCCTCTGCTCCCTAGCCCAGCCTGTACCGGAGGGCATCAGCAAAAAGCTGTGGTCTTTAATTTCGGCAATGCATCAGGATGAGGTCACGGGTGTTGTCAAAGCAGAAAAGGGGATTCTGAGACTCGGAGAGCACCTGTACTTAAAACACGGGCATGATAAGACTAAGCATGAATACATTAGGCAGAAAATGAGAGAAGTCGGTAGGTTAATTAACGAAGCAAAAACTGCAGGGAAACTGAAAACAATTAAGGATTTCTTTATTCCTTCCAACTTTAACCATGTGATTGATGCAGTCAGGTCTGTGGCTGGATATGATGAGGAAACAAATCAATACAAGACTCCATCCTTGGCCCTCAAACTCGGCCATAGCCTCAGAAAGCTAGCAGATATTCTTGAATGTGACTCAAAAATGGAGCATTGTGTTGATGAACTATTTATTAAAAACCTCCAACGAAGCCGGCTGCTTTTTGAGAAGAGGTGGGACGTCTGTGTTTCTTCTGCTGCCCTACAGACCCTCCGACAAGCCAAGTGGAACACTCCGGACCTGCTCCCTCTGACTGAGGACGTTAGAGCCATGCATGCACATATTGAGGTATGTCGACCTGAATATGTGCAAACCCTAATAAGTGAGCCAATGTCTAAGCATTGGTCTAAACTGGCAGTTTTGACTCTTTGTGAGGTCATTATTTTCAATCGAAGAAGGGAAGGTGAGGTTTCAAAGATGCCACTGACAGCCTTTACCTTAAGAAGTAAGACTGGGATGACATTGCTCTGGGACTGTCCCAACTTGAGAAAAAGCTGTGTCAGCATTTTCAACGCATTGAAATTAAAGGGAAAAGAAGTCGGAAAGTGCCGGTTCTTTTGACTCCTGAAATGATTGCTTCGATGGAGGTGCTGGTGGAGAACAGAAGGGCCTGTTCCATCTCTGACCATAACCCATACTTCTTTTCCCGCCCGGGCGCAGACACCCACATCAGGGGATCAGACTCCCTACGCCAGGTAGCCAAAGAATGTGGTGCGGTGCATCCAGAGATGCTATCCTCAACCAAACTTAGAAAGCACATAGCTACTATATCTACAGTTCTCAATATGAAAGAGAATGAAATGGACATACTAGCCAACTTCCTCGGCCATGACATTCGCATCCACAGGCAATATTACAGACTACCAGAGGGGACACTGGAGCTGGCCAAAATCAGCAAAGTGTTGATGGCCATGGAGCAGGGAAGAGTGACGGAATTCAAAGGAAAGAGCCTCGACCAGATACAAATTGAGCCTGAAGGTAATTCTTGATATTATTAAAATATGTATGATTTTTTTCCCCTAAAGGCCACTTGTATTTTTATTTTCTGTGCGACAGGGAGAGCAGTAGAGATCCTCTCACAAACGGACGGGCTAAAAGAAACTTCAAGCGGAGAACCTTCAACCATTCATCCAGATGCACCCCATGGTAGTGGCAGTGCCCCTTCTGGTAAGTGTACCAGGTGGGGGATTACAGCCAGGCTGCTTGGTCCTAACCCTGGGAGTGTATATTGCTAATATATTTTTATTTCTCTCCTAGAACGTGTAAGAAAGCCATGGTCTGCATCTGAGGTGAAGGCTGTGGAGAAGACCATGACACCTTTCATACAGACTGGAAAGGTCCCTGGGAAGTCTCACTGCCTGGCCTGCATTAATGCCTCACCAGATGACCTTAGACATCGGACATGGAGTGGCATTAAATTCTATGTCAAAAATAGAATCACTGCAATTCGAAAAAAAAATCTAAAATAAAATTCCTTTAAAAGAGTTGTTTGGTTTCTATTGACTGTTTTGTATTACTTAAAGTAGTCCCAGTAAAAAAAGATTATGTCTATGGGTCCCATTCTGAACGGCCCTGTCAAAGGGACCCACCAGGTAACAAAAACGTGTATGTGTGGGTGTGCAGAAATAAATGACCCCCCGAGAGGGCCCGGGTTAAAATTACGCTTGTATAGGGATGGGAGAACCACAAAAAAACCTAAGTGTTTAGGCTGTAGTACCAGGCGCGTTTTGAAAATCAGACTAAGTGTTTTGAGAAAAAACCTAAGTGTCTAGGCTGTAGGACCTGGCACACGTTGTGTGCCTGGTCTAGCTTGTAGTACTAGCTTGTAGACAAAAAGTGTCTAGCTTGTAGTACTAGGCACGTTTTGTTCTGTTTGTAGTCCCAGGCACGCCTGGTTTTTCCAGCAGCGCCTAAGGGTGTGCAGTCCGAGGGGGGGGCTTAATAGTGGGTACCCGGGTCCGACTGGTGCACACGTCTTCCCCGGCCCCGGCGGTCCCTGGAGGTGCGCTTGCGGGGGTGTGGGGTGCTGTGGTCGGGCAGCAGCCTGCACAGAGCCCCCCTGGAGGTCCTGGGCTTGCCCACACCTAACCTTAACCCCCATGGAGATCCAGGCCGCCCCCACGCCTGCACATAGCCCCCCTGGAGGTCCAGGCCGCCCCCACGCCTGCACATAGCCCCCATGGAGGTCCAGGCCTTCCCCACACCTAACCTTAACCCCCACGGAGGTCCAGGCCTTCCCCACACCTAACCTTAACCCCCATGGAGGTCCAGGCCTTCCCCACGCCTAACCTAACCCCCATGGAGGTCCAGGCCCTCCCCACGCCTGCACATAGCCCCCCTGGAGAACCAGGGCTTCCCCACACCTAATCTTAACCCCCCTGGCGGACCTGCCCGCCCCCAGGCCCGAGCTCCAGGGGCAAAATGCTTACAGCACCTGGTATTCCCAGGCGGTCTCCCATCCAAGTACTAACCAGGCCCGACCTTGCCTAGCTTCCGAGATCAGACGAGATCGGGCATTCTCAAGGTGGTATGGCCGTAAGCACGGGGGTATGGAGCAGCGTGCCTCCTGACCCTGCTGCTGCGGTCCTCTCCTCCCCCAGAAGGAGCGCTCTTGGGCGGATGGCAGGCGCGCGGTCCCCCGGTGGTTTCCAAGGGCCATAACTTTCTGGTCCTTTGTCCCCCGCACGTCAAATTCACACCGCGGGTAGCCCGGGACCAGGGGAGTCCCCATGGGTCCCACCCCCGTGTCTGTAGCCCCCCTGGCTCGGCTTTGAGGAGCCCGGAAAGTGGCGCTTTCTCCCCCCGGGAATGAGCGCCCAGGCCCGGATCTGAGCGGGAGCAAAGCCCGCCCCGGTGGTAGCCCAGGTCCGGAGGAGTGCGTGGGTGAAAACCCCGTGTCTCTAGCCCTTATGGTTCGTTTTCTACAAGCCATGTAAGCCGAGGTTCTCCTCCCCCAGAAGGAGCGCTCTTGGGCGGATGGCAGACGCGCGGTCCCCCGGTGGTTTCCAAGGGCCATAACTTTCTGGTCCTTTGTCCCCCGCGCGTCAAATTCACACCGCGGGTACCCCGGGACCAGGGGAGTCCCCGGGTCCCACCCCCGTGTCTGTAGCCCCCCTGGCTCGGCTTTGAGGAGCCCGGAAAGCGGGGCTTTCTTCCCCCCGGAATGGGCGCCCAGGCCCGGATCTGAGCGGGAGCAAAGCCCGTCCCGGTGGTAGCCCAGGTCCGGAGGAGTGCGTGGGTGAAAACCCCGTGTCTCTAGCCCTTAAGGTTCGTTTTCTACGAGCCCTGGAAGCTGAGGTTATCCTCCCCCAGAAGGAGCGCTCTTGGGCGGATGGCAGACGCGCTGTCCCCCGCTGATTTCAGACCGGTGTAACATTCCCGTCTCTTGTCCCCCGTGCGTGAAACTCACAGGGGTCGTAGCCCAGGCCGAGACGAGTCCCTGGGTCGAGACCGCGAGTCTCTGGGCCTCTGCGTTGATTTTTAACCAATTTCTGGAGATTCTGTAGTACCAGACGCACACGCTTTTGGAGCAAAAAAAATGACAAAGTGTCTTGTGAGTTCAAGCCCCTTTTACGCAGGCCGTAACTTTTTGGTCTTTCATTTCCCATGAGTGAAATTCACGGAGGATGTAGCCCAGGTCCGGACGAGTGCGTGGGTCCAAAGAGAATAGGCGCTCGTGAGCGGACGCGGCCGCGCTGTCCCCCGCTGATTTCAGACCTCCGTAGCATTCCCGTCCCTTGTCCTCCGTGCGTGAAACTCACAGGGTTCGTAGCCCAGGCCGAGACGAGTCCGTGGACACCTGGAGCGTGTCGGTCCGACACCGGGGCGCCGGTTCTAGAGCGGTTTGAAAATTCAGCCCGGGACTCCCGGGCTGACGAAAAATAATCCTCACTCCGCGTCCCCAAAACGGCTATAACTTTCCTGTCTCTTATTCCAGCGGGCTGAGATTTTCAGGGACGGTAGACCAGGTTGAGCCGAGTCCGTGGACGGCTCGGGCGTGTCGGTCCGACACCGGGGGCCGGTTCTATGGCGGTTTGAAAATTCAGCCCGGGACTCCCGGGCTGACGAAAAAATCCTCACGCTGCGTCCCAAAAAGGTGAGGTCAAACCACTTTCTCCAAGGGACCTATATGGGGAATATAGAGAGGGTGTTGGTCGATGAAGAGAAACATAGACACATGTGGTATCTGCGGATTCGTCTCGACGAGGCCGTTCGAATGGTGCACACGGCATGCCTCTGCGGGGCCCCTGGTTGAAGTTATTCGAGTCAGAAGGTTCCTCCACACAGCATGCCTGACTCTATTCGCATGGCTCCGGCGCGGGCTAGGGGCTATCGGCGGACCTGTCGGTGGCGAGACCGAAACGCCTTGTCTCTCCCGGATGCACAGAGACGCCAGACTCCCACCTCGGGGTGCTGGGGCTGGGCCCTTATAGGCGTGGTGGTCGGGCGAAGAACACTTTTCTTGAAACCTAATGAGAGCCTTGACAAGCTCAGAGCGCTCACCCTCTGGGATCCCAAGTGGGATGACCAGCTATTAGACCCTGAATGGTGCACACGCTACGCTGTCTAAATACTAGGTCAAGCAGGCAGAGCTGGCCTAACATGTACACACCGCCCGTCACCATACCAATTGAGTTGGTCCTCGGATCAGCCCCGCTGGAGTCGGTCACGGCCCTGGCGGAGCGCTGGGAAGGGGATCAACTATTATGCCTAGAGGCCCCGGGCTGGTGGCTCTTGGCGGACCTGTCTGTGGCAAGAATGAGATTTCCTGTCTACCCCAGATTTCACAGAGACGTTGGGCCCCCACTCAGGCGTAGAGGTCAGAAGACACGCTTTCTCGTACCCCTCAGTAGGGCCCAGACAGGCTCCAAACGAAAGCCCACGAACGCCCCGCACTCCGACCAGGGTGCGTTCGCCCGAGGGGGTAGGCATTACCAGTTCTGGCTCTCGGTGGGTCTGCGGCGCGTGCCGCGGCCACGTGAGGCCGCCCAGGGAAAAAAGCCGAGGGCCCACCCCCTCAGTAGGGCCCAGACAGGCTCCAAACGAAAGCCCACGAACGCCCCGCACTCCGACCAGGGTGCGTTCGCCCGACGGGGTAGGCATTACCAGTTCTGTTCAGGCGACCCCTCGTCTTCCAGAGTCCAAGTGGCCTTCCTCGGAAACAAAAACCAAAAAAACTGATCGCAGCTAGCTGCGAGAACTAATGTGAATTGCAGGACACATTGATCATCGACACTTCGAACGCACCTTGCGGCCCCGGGTTGCTCCCGGGGCTACGCCTGTCTGAGGGCCACTTTGTCATCCATCGGGAAACACGCGCTCACCCGCGTGTCCCTCCCGCGGCTGGGGTTTCGCAGCGCGGCAGGGGGTCGATTCCTCTCGCAGGTTCGACCCTCGTCGGTCCGCGGTTCGTGCCCTCAATTGGAGCCGGAATTGTGTCCCACCTTCGGGCTCACACACCTCCCCCGTGTCTTCCCCTAACCCAAAGCGCCAGGCCTCCGCCTGCCGCGTGGTCCGGGCGCGGCTGTTGGTAAACCCCTGCGGTTGATCGATCTGCCCGCGTTACGGCAGGTGACTGAAGGCCTGGCCCGGGTGGGGGGGACGTGGGGGGTGGCCCAGGCGTGCCTGGTCGCTCCCGCGCCCTGTGCACTTGTCATCCATCGGGAAACACGGCCCTCCTCACAGGGCCCGTGTCCCTCCCGAAGCTGGGGTTTCGCAGCGCGGCAGGGGGCTGTTCCTCTCGCAGGTTTAGCCCCCGTAGCCCCCCGTCCGCGGTTCGTGCCCTCAAGTACAGACAGACCCGTGTCTAACCTCCGGGTCAAAAACCCTGCCCGTCTCTCCCCCCCACAATGCCAGGTGTCCACCTGCCGCGTGGTCCGGGCGCGGCTGCCGGTGAACCCCCGTGGTTAACCAAGCTGCCCGCGTTATGGCACGTAGCTGGAGACCAGGCCCGGGGGGGGGGGAAGGGGACGGCCTGGGTGTGGCCGGTCCTTTCTTCCTCCCTTCCTTTAGATTGTAGTACCAGGCACACGTTGAAAATCAGACTAAGTGTTTTGAGAAAAAACCTAAGTGTTTAGGCTGTAGGACCAGGCACACGTTGAAAATCAGACTAAGTGTTTTGAGAAAAAACCTAAGTGTTTAGGCTGTAGGACCAGGCACACGTTGAAAATCAGACTAAGTGTTTTGAGAAAAAACCTAAGTGTTTAGGCTGTAGGACCAGGCACACGTTGAAAATCAGACTAAGTGTTTTGAGAAAAAACCTAAGT